CCAGTGGCTTTGGAGGCTGAGGCAGGAGGATTGCGGGTTCAAACCAGCCTCAGCAACAGCAAGGCATTAAGCAACTCAGTGAGACCCTGTCTCTAAATAAAATACAAAAAAGGGCTGGGGATGTGCCTCAGTGGTTAAGTGCCCCGAGGTTAAATCCCTCGTACCAAAACAACAACAACAACAAAAAAAATCACATCATTGGAGATGACCTACTTCTGGGTCAGGGTTACTTTCCTCCCTGCTACTTACTACATAAAATTCAATCCTCAGGGTTGTGTTTGTGTCTCAGTGGTTGAGCACTCGCCTAGCACAAGGTTCAAAATTCATTTTTTGCCTTCACATTCCACATTGCCTTGGGCTTGAGTCTTTAACCCTTGGGCCTTGTTTGCCAAAAAAAAAAAAAAATATATATATATATATATATATATATATATATATATATATATATACACACACACACACACACACATGCTTGGCTTTCCTTGTAATATTTCTAGCAGTTTGAGAGCCAGAATTTAATCCCAGACACACTCTGTGAGAGTAAAACAGGCCTATGCTGGCTGTTTTCAAATACCAGCACACTTGAACAAAGACCCTGATGACTTGGGTCCAATAACCTGGGTCCAATCCTGGCTTGGCAATCCCATGACTATGTGACCTTGAGCAAGTGATTTCATTTCTCAAGGTCTCAGCTTTCTTATCTATAAAATTGTAAAATAAGGAGCTGGAGTGTAACCCAGAGTAGAGTGCTTGCCTAGTACATGTGAGGCCCTGGATTCAATGCCCAGCAAAACACACACACACACACACACACACAGTACAATAATAGTATTTATCTCATTGATTTGTTTTGAAAATTAAAAAACCTGTTGTGCTAAGTGCTTGACCTATCTCATCTTAATTATGCTTACAGCTAATTTAGTGCACATGGAGAAAAAGACAACCCTGTCTAGGCAGGTGCAATCCCACAGTGAGGCACACCACAACCTGGACTTATGCCCTGAGCTAGGAAACCTTGGGAATAGCCCTTACAACTGTGTACAGCAGTTCTGCCTATGGAGCAGGTATTTGTATATTTCTTTTTTCCCAAGAAGCAACTGTGGCTTAGAGAAGTTGAGCACATGTAATGGTAATAGGGTAGTGGGGTCACTTCTAACTTTCCTGTTTACTTAGGACACACCAAAAAGGCATCCCCAGTCCTTATGGCCATCCACCACCTCTATTGTGGACCATAAGACTTTGTCACCAGCTCACTAGTTTAAACCTCATCCATCCACAGTGATGGCAATCAAATCCTCTCTAGCATCTAACTCTTATAGATTACTGTCAATCTCTACTCTCTTCTCTATTACTCTGATAATCATTTTTTTAAAACTAAGGCATGTTATTTTGAAATAATTGGGGTGGTAGAAAGAAGGACAGAATTCCATTTACGTATCATCCTGACTTGGCAGTTTTATTTTTCCATGGTCCATTTAATACCTAGATAGGAAGGATTAAAAATATTGTGGGTCTGAATAATTCTTCTGAAGCTGTAAGATCAGTGTTACCAACAGATAGCTCAGTATTAGGCAGAGCAGATTCCAACTTCAGGATCTTTTCCTCCTCTTTATTAGGTGCCCATGAGTTTTACGTGGCTAGATGATGCTAGGGGAGTATGGATTAACTAAAGGTTCCCACCTTTCATTTTTAAATCCTTCTATTATTTCTCTGATGAACAGGCAGCACCCACTGCCTGCTGTGTCTCACACTGTGATTTGGACATGTGTCATTCTACTTGTGCACAGTGGGGAAGAAGTTACTGTGTGCTATATATGCACACTGAATGTGTTTGTGTATCTCCTGCATGAATCTGTGCAGTATGCTGATTGTTTTCTTTCAAAGGTGGATCACTGGGTAAACTGAGGTACTGTCAAGGAATTGATTTGTTCATAGAACACTGAATATAACTGCAGAAGCTTTCCAGTTATTCCCTGATTGAATGTAAGTTTCTGTTTTAAATGGTACGATTTCAAAGCATAGTTCAGGTTTGAAACAGCTGCAGCAAGCCAGCAACCTTGGATGGTGTGCACATCCCCAAGTGGCATAAAAAAATTAGCACACATTGAAATGGAAATTTTCTAAGTCTCAGAACCACCATTTCCCCAGCAAACCTCCCACCCAAGTGGCACCCAAATGACACCAAATGAAAGCCAATGAAAAGGAATGAACTTGGCCCATGTACCTTCAAAGGCCTAACTCAGTGCAGTTAGAGTGAACTAAAATTATTAGTTCAAGGTTAGATATTCTAACACCAATTCTCAGGTCTCAGAAGCCAGCCTAGCCTTGCTGCTGGCAGATAACCAACAGAGTCATATTTAATGTTTTAGACATGACTGTTAAATTTGGCCCAGTGTGAGTTTGTGTTTGATCAGACCTATGAAAGTGGAGAAGGATTCCTGTTGGGAGGTCTGGGTTCTAGCCCAGGGACTTATAGGCTGTGTGACTCTGGACAAGCTAATCACCCATCAAGAGCCGTTTTTCTCGAAGGAGTCAAACCCTGTTATGCTTGCCTTTTGGGAGGTGTGAAGATCAGATAGGATGGTGTTTGGGAACTATGAAAGCACTATAAACAACCAGGACAATTATGTTCTCGGACAGAACACCAAATTCTTTCTGCCTTCACTTAATTGTACATTCAACTTACATACTGTGAGTTTTACCTATTCCTCATTCTTGCAGCAAGACCCTTTGAAAGTATTGTTAGAACTAGAATCAATATCTGTTTAGTTCCCCCTTTTAACCTTCACATCCTCTGAGATGAGGAACGTACAGAAATTAAGAGGAAAAAGGAGTTGGGAGCCCAAAGGTACAAAGCATTCCCATCCTGATGTCCTGTCTTTCTTCTGTTACAGCAACATCTAAATCCAAAGCCAGCTGGGTATGGTGGTACACCACTGTAATCCCAGAGATTTGGGAGTTTGAGGCAAGAGGATCACAAGTTCAAGTTCAGCCTCAACAGTTTAGCGAGACCTATCTTGAAATGAAAAATGTAAAGGGCTTGGGATGTGGCTCAGTGGTAAAGTGCACCTGGGTTCAATCCTCAGTACCAAAATATATATGCATACATATATAAATACATACATAAATTCAAAACCAAAGATTCTGGTTGAATGTTAGGCCCCAGTTCTTCCTGTACCCCTCCTCTGGTCCCCAATCTCCTGAGTTCACCTCAAAGGTCAATTAGTTCATGTGTTGCTGTCCCAAGCCACTGAACACAGCTCAGAATTCTACATATTAGCCATACAGTATGTATTTGGTGAATATTTATAAGACAGGAAAATAAAAATGGAGGCTGAAATTGTTTTCTCCTCATCCTAAGGTTCTGCCAACACAAAATGAGAAACAAAACATCTGAGATGCCACTGCTTATGAGGCAAACCACTTTTTATGTGTCAAAAAAAAAAAAAAGGAAAGACTCTATCCATTAAAATATGACAGTGCTTCCTTACTGTATCTATTATAAGACACACTTTGATTTCATAGATGTAAAATGTGAAAAAAAATGTTAATCGTAGAACAGAAGAAATGCAATATTTCTTCTGTTTGGACCTGATACAATAGATTAGAAAACTTCAAACCATCTCTCTTTTTTTAATATTTATTTTTTATATGTAGATGGACACAACACAATGCCTTTATTTTTATGTGGCGCTGAGGATCGAACCCGGGTCCCGCCCGTGCTGGGTGAGAGCTCTACCACTGAGCCACAATTCCAGCCCAAACCATCTCAATTTTTGTCTCAATTTCTTACATCTATACATGTTATACAATCATGCTTTCATGTGGGTGGAAAGAGGTCATTCATTCTATTTTTCTCATGGGTACAGTAGTACAAAGTATGGCTTTGTGGGGTTGGGGCTGGGGCTCAGTGATAGAGTGCCTGCCTTGTACGTGTGAGGCACTGGGTTCAATCCTCAGCGCCACATAAATAAATAAATAAAGATATTGTGTCCAGGGCTGGGGCTGAGGCTCAGTGGTAGCATACTTGCCTGGCGCATGTGAGGCACTGGGTTCGATTCTCAGCACTGTGTATAAATAAATAAAATAAAGGTCTATCAACAACTAAAAAAAAAAATTAAAAATTGTGTCTATCTACAACTAAAAAAATGTAAAAACAAAACAAAACCAAGTATGGCTGTGAGTATAGTTTGGGGTAAGGTAAGTGCAGACTATAAAATACTTATCTGAACAAAAGTCATCATTAATTCTGTGGACCATTGTTTGTTTCTTTGCAAGATTTTTAAAAAGTAAGAAATGTTCAATGGCATTTGGCACGTTGATTATATGCTTTTTGTTGTTTTATTTCGATGCTTGGTTTGACTGTTTTGTTATTACTATTGAGTTAATTCTACTTCAGGTAAAGCAACCAAACAGGGAGTTCCTCTTACACAGAGAAATTAAGCATGAAGAGGCTCACATGCTGAAAGCACATCACCTGCCTGGGCCAAATGTGACATTTTCGTTATGCAAGTGGGAATTCATAGTCTTTCTAGGCCAGGGTGGGGGGAGAGAGAAACACGGAGAACTAGAAATACAGCTTGTGTAACAATCCCTTGTAAATTTTTTGTGGACCAGCCCTTGCATTTAGAATGTCCTTGCTCATAAATTCTACAGTTTGGGATGAGAAAAAACCCACCTGTTTCTAGCCTGTTCTGTTACCTTGTTCCTCTGCTCCATCAGGATATTTTATACACAATAGCAAAGAAAGTGCAAATAAACACACAAAAAAATGTATTTTTAGGACCAGATCATGTCCGGGTGGAAAGAAATGATCCCACATTATTGTAGTTCTCTTAGGAGCTTCGTCAACATTTGGGCACCACAGTGCCTTGGCTCCTGCCAGCAATTCCCAGGCTGTTGCTGTGATGGTGAGTGTCAGCAACCCTCATGCTGGGCAGAAAATTGTTAATGTTTGATTACTGCTAATGCACTTTTGCCCACTGTTCTCTCCCCTGCAGTCGGAGTACCACTATGAGTACACCGCATGTGACAGCACAGGTTCCAGGTGGAGGGTCGCCGTGCCGCACACCCCAGGCCTGTGCACCAGTCTCCCTGACCCCGTCAAGGGCACCGAGTGCTGTAAGCAACCTTCCTGTTTTAGGGCCTCCCTCCTGCTCAGCTGTAACCTTCTTGTCCCAAGCCTCCTGTATCCAAGCTAGGCTCCTCCTGATAGTGCAATTGCCTTAAGGAATCAGATCTGTCCCCTAGTTAGTCCCCGTCCTTAACGCTGTTGAAATTGGTACAGAACTGTTATTTCATGGATGCAAACTGGGCATCTGAATCTTTTATTATTATTTTTTAAATCAGTCCCAGCTCCTCGAGAGGCTGAGGTAGGAGGATCTCAAGTTCAAGACCAGCCTGGGAAACTTAGGTAGACCCTATACAAAATATAGAAAGGGGGCTGGGTTGTGGCTCAGTGGTAGAGCACTCGCCTAGTATATGTGAATAAAAATAAGTAATTAAAGGTATTGTGTCCATCTACAACTAAAAAAAAAAGCTATTTAAAAAAATATAGAGAAAGGGCTGGAAATGTAGCTCAGTGGTAGAGTGTCCCTGGGTTCAATTCCCAGAATCATAAATAAATAGATAGATAAATAGAATACCATCTGTGGACACAGCATGAGCAATTCCAGCCATGTGCCACCCAGATACTTGGTTTTTGTCAGCATTCATTTTCTTTTTGCCTGTGCATTTCTCTTCAATCTATACTCACCAGCCAAAATCGGGCATTTAGGGAACATTGATTGCTTTCATTCTTGAAAAGGAAAGGAAGCCAGAGACAATAAATTTCTGCAGAGACAGACCTTAAAAATGCACTGGGCATCACTTCTGGGAAAAAGACTCTTCCTGACTGTGGATCTGACTATGTAATCAGGAAGGCAGTGGCTTGCCGCAACTCCTGGCCCTGCCTCTGTAGTGACAACTTCCCTACAATTGGTTGCTGTTTCTCCTCAACTGTTCTTTTAGGAATACCAAGGAAATAACAATAAAAATTAAGAAATTTTTAGAACTAAGGAATTATTCAAAGAGTTGGAAAGGAGACTTAAAAAGTCAATTTAGCTCATTGGCTGGTTCAGCAGGTAAACAACTTGTTAAATTTATGAAGGGATATTGCTGAGATCTGAGCAAAAGTGTGGTGTAATTAACAGAAACAAGTGAACCATCTTCAGTTAACTCAGGTTACCTCAGTGAGCTCCTACTATGTGTAAGCCCTACGACATTCCAGTGTTGTGTGAACCACAAAGATGAATAAGGCACTGTCCCTGCCTACAGGAGCTCACAGCAGACAGTCATTCATCCATTCATTGTTTGGGCAAACCTTCATGAAGCTCCTGCGATGTCTGTGCCAATACTGAGCCAGCCAAACCCCATCAGCCCAGAGCCCAGCGGCTGGCAGAAAAATGCAATGAGTTAATACAGTGTGAGGAAGAATGGGGATTATGGATGCTTAGTGATGAGGAACAGCTGGGACGACCATTGAAGCAAAAGTTTGGAGGTGGAATCAGCAATATGCTCAAGGTAGAGCCTGGGACCCAGGGTGGAGTGGAGAAAGGTCTGTAGTGAGAGATCAGGCTGGAACAATAGATTTTGGGGAAACTGGAGGAGAAGATTCTGAGTGCCAGGCTGAGAGCTTAATTCTGTAATCAGTGTAGGAAGAGTACCTGATTATTTTAAAAAAGAAAACAGGCAAGGCACAGTGGCACACACCTCTCATCTCAGCAATTCCTAAGGCTGAGACAGGAGGACCCCAAGTTTGAGGCCAGCCTCAGGAACTTAGTGAGACCCTGTCTCAAAATAAATAAAAAGGGCTGAGGATGTAGTTCAGTGGTCAAACACCCCTGGGTTCAATCCCCAGTACAAAAGAGAGAGAGAGAGAGAGAGAAAACAAAGTACAAAAACAACATTTTAGGAAGATACCCTTGACCCCAGAATAAGCAAAAATATGAAACAGGGGCCTAGTCATGAGGGAATTGCAATGACTGAGTTAACAGGTCTCAAGAATCTTAATTAACATGGGAGCAGGAGAACCAGAAAGGAAAAGACAGAGGACAGAGGCTGAAGGGGGAAATTCAAGGCTGAAGGACCATGTATTACCATCAGGGGCCCGCATCCTCCTCCCTGAAGCATGCTCAGAATGGCTGAGGTGTCTCTCCAGAGGAATCAAGATTATCAGGAATGAGCCCAAAGTGCTGCAGCAAGTCAGAGCCTGCCCAACCCTAAATCTTTTTTTATTTTTAAAATAACATCTTTATTGAGATACAATTCACACACCATAAAATTTATCCCTTACAGGGTAAATTTCAGTGGCTTTTAGAATACTTGTGACAACCATCCCCACCCTAATTTTGGAACATTTTAATCATGAAAAGAAAACTCATCTCATGGACAATCTCTCCTCAGGCCCCTTCTCCTTCCCCCACCCCCAAACAACCATAAGTCCATTTTCTGTCTCTATTACTTTGCCTCTTCTGGGTTGCATATAAATAGTATCACATAGTATGTGCCATGTCCCTAAATCTTAAGTGAGCCAAACTCCAGGATCCCAACCTTGCGCTGCTCCCTTTAGAATATCCTCAGCCCATCCACCCCTCCAGGGGCCACAGTGACCTCACCACCCCTCCTTTGCCCCTGCCCTGCTTTCCAGCCTTCTCTTGCAATGCCGGGGAGTTTCTGGATATGAAGGACCAGTCCTGCAAGCCGTGCGCTGAGGGCCGCTACTCCCTTGGCACGGGCATCCGGTTCGACGAGTGGGATGAGCTGCCCCATGGCTTTGCCAGCCTCTCAGCCAACATGGAGATGGATGAGAGCAGCGCAGAGTCCACTGAGAACTGCACTTTGTGAGTTTCCACACACCCCATGCCCTTTGGTGAAGAGGCTGCTGGGCACCCTCGGCCCAGCAGGGAGGAAGGAGGCGAGAAGGAAGCCAGGCTGCCAGGGGGAAGGCAGCAGTAGGTCCCCACAGGACTGTTGGAGGTGACTGCCACCTCAGTCTACTCTTAAGCTTACCTGTGACTGGCAGGCATTTGTGACAATGAGAAACATGAAGAAATAAAGGGGATAGTAAGGGGACAGGGTCAAATGGTCCAGTCTATTTAAAACAAAAACCTAATCAGATTTCCACTATGGAAGTTTGGATCAGCCAGTAAACTTCCTTGACCCGACTGGAACACAATGTGCAGCATATTGGATACCTTCCTGGCTTTTATGCTAACTTCTAAAACTGGTTCTGCCTAATCTGAGTTAATGAATTTGGGGGGAATAGAGTAGGACTAGAGCTTTGGTTCATGGTGGCTGAGACTTCCAAACCACTGGAGAGACCCCAATGACCAGAAAATTTTCTAACTCAGATGACACTATTGACCAGTAGTTGAAGAGTCAGCTCAGGATACTTGGACAGCTAGATTTTTATTTCATATGGGCCTTTAATGTTCCAGACACTGTGCTGGATGCTTCACATACATTATTTTCTATAATCCTCGCAGGTACCCCATGAAAATAGGTATTATGGTTCCCATTACAGAGATGAGAAACTGGAGGCTCAATGAGGTTAAGTGATCCACCTGTGTTATCTAGCTCACAACTGGCAAAACTGGAACTCAAGCCCATTCCCAAATTGTTGACTACCCCGTCCTGCCAACTCCAAGTAATATTTATGATGTGCAAGTGGGTACTAGGGAGTAAAAGGAGCAGGTGTTGCAAAGATGCAAAAAGCAATCATACGTTGTTTTTTAAAAAATATTGACAAGGACAGCTGCATGTGGTGGTACATGTGTGTAATCCCAGAGACTTGGGAGGCTGAAGCAAGAGGATTGCAAGTTCAGGGCCAGGCTAGGCAATTTAGTGAGGCCCTGCTTCAAAATAAAAAAAAAATAAAAAGGGATGTAGCTCAGAGATAAAGTGCCCCCCGGGTTCAATTCCCAGTACCAAAATAATTAAATAAATAAATAATAAATAAAATTTTAATAATATATTGACAATAAATGTGGGAGGAAAGAAAAGGGAAGTTTCTTGTACCCAGGAAATGAATAAAAGAGACTGAAGAACTGTGTTGCAGTTAAGTTTCTAAAACTGGGAGCAATGCTTCCCATGCCTGTATTTAAATATCCCAGAAGAAATAAGCCACAGGGTGGACATTCAAAAATCCAATTTTGGTTATTTTAGAGTTCAGTTTTATGTGTTAAAATTATAAGCATGATAATAACAGCCAGAGCCAGAGAGGATACAAGCCAGAAAAAGAGAGAGAACGTGTGGGATTCAGAAGACCAATGCCTATCTGAATCCCAAGACTGAATGTCATTTGATCCTGGACAAGGTACAAACCTGGCTCAGTCAGTTCCTACCCATGCAAAGGAAGCGTTTCTCCTCTCTCTGGGGACTGCGCTGAGAATCCAGAAATCATTACCTCCTAGCAAGGCAGAATGTGGGCCTGTCAATACCAACTTGTGGTTGCATGGTTCAGAGCCAGGATCTTAAGGCATCCCACAACATCCCTGGAAGGGAGGGAAAGGTTGTTTCTCCTCTGGATAAATGGAGAGGAAATGGCCACCTGGAGAGGTTTTGAAAGGCAACAATTGAGCTGGTAGCAAAAACCCTAGTGGCTGTCCTGTTCAACCTGAATCCGGTCCCCTTGCCTCCAGCCTAACCCAAGCCAGCATCACCTCCTGCCCCACTGCCTCCTCCGTCCTAAACCAAGCCAGCATCACCTCCTGCCCCACTGCCTCCTCCATCCTAACCCAAGCCAGCGTCACCTCCTGCCCCACTGCCTCCTCCATCCTAACCCAAGCCAGCGTCACCTCCTGCCCCACTGCCTCCTCCATCCTAAACCAAGCCAGCGTCACCTCCTGCCCCACTGCCTCCTCCATCCTAAACCAAGCCAGTGTCACCTCCTGCTCCACTGCCTCCAGCCTAACCCAAGCCAGAGTTAGTCACCTCCTGCCTGCTCTGCCTCAACACCTCACAGCTAGTCTCCTGCTTCCACTCCTTGCCTTCTCCAGGCCACATCCATCCAGCAGCCAGATTGATTTTAACACACAAATCTAACTACAGCATTTTCCTGCTCAAAACCCTGGTGCCTCTGTAACCATTGCTCTTGGGGCGCTGTCCATCTGGCTTCTGCCCTCTGCCTTCTGCCTTCTGCCCATTTCCCCAGCCTCTCTCAAGTACTCTCTCTCTCTCTTTTGCAAACTGGCAGCCTGGCTCCTCCCTCCTCTGGGCCTTTGAACAGCTTCTTCACCTCCTGTCCCTTAGCTGACTCCTCCTTACCCCTCATGTCTCTGCCTAAAACTCACTTTCCTCAAAGAACCAATCCCTTCATATTACATATTCTTGCATCACCTTGTAATTCTTCTTATGACATCTAGCACAGTATGATTAGTTAAGTTTCTCTCCTCAACTTGGAAGAGAATATAAGTTTCAAGTGGGAGAGGATGTGGTCTGCTTGGTTGTTGCTGTGTCTCTTCAGCATCTAACCCTGTCTGGCACAAAGTGGACCCAAAATAAATCATTGGGAACAAAAGAGACCAACTGAACAGGGTCTCCGTGGCAGGCCTGAGATTTGTGGGGAGGCTACAGGGTTCCTGGGTAGATGTCTCCTGGCTGCAATGCTGGGAACAGCCTGACATCAGCAGCCAGGAAGGCAAGAGGGAGCAGGAGTTAGGGGGAGTAATAAAAGGGTGTTATATGTGGTTAAGAAGGAGACAGAAGACCAAATACTGAGGGAAAGATAGATGTAGACATTAAAAAGATAGCTGGGGTTGTAGCTCAGTGGTAGAGCACTGACCTCACGCACGTGAGGTCCTGGGTTTGATCCTCAGCACCACATAAACATAAATAAATAAAAATAAAGATATGTGTCCATCTACAACTAAAAAAATATTTTAAAAAAAGGTAAACAAATTGGGCATGCTAGTGCATACCTATTATCCCAGCTACTCAGGAGGCTGAGGCAGGAAAATTACAAGTTCAAAGTCAGTCTCAGTAACTTAGAGAGACCCTGTCTCAAAACGAAAAATATAAAGAGCTGAGATGTAGCTCAGCACCCCTGGGTTCAATCCCCAGTACCAAAAACAAACAAACAAACAAACAAACAAAACCCCATAAACATTAAAAATGAAAAACATGTGCAGATGGCAGCTAAATGACCTAAGGCAAGTTTCCTGATCACCTCTGCCCTCAGTTTTCTCTTCCTAAAAACTATGATAAAAATAGTACTCTTCTTAAAGAATATGGTAAGAATGAAATGATACATGTAAAAGAATTTAGAGCAATGCCTCTGGCTCTAGAAATCAATCAAAACATGTTGTTATTATTGAATGTGAGATATCTTCACCAGGGACCACTCAGACAAAAATCAGAATTGTGATGCATTTTGCAAATGTAACCCACTTATGGCATCCTTTTAATTATTCATTAAACCTCAGGAGTTATTTATAGCTGATGTTGTGGAATACATTAAATGTCTCTTTCAACAAGGAGAATCAATGCCATTTGGTTAGCTGGGGCATTTTGAATGAGCTCAGTTTCTGTTTCTGTTTTGAGAGTAATACTGATCACGGAAGAGCCTGATATGCCCTGTTATTATGGCAGACACAAGGGAACCCTGTGGATTAGTTTAAGTTTCCTTTAACTGGCCATTATTAAGCAGTTGGAGACTTGGGCTGGTCTCAGACAAAGCAGTGAAACAGTGGGATTGTCTTTGATCACCCTTCCCTCATATCCTCTGTTTAATCCCCCCTAGTCCTCCCTAGGTGCCAGGCCCAGCGCTTGATGCTGGGGATACATTAGTGCACAGGTAAGTTTGGTCACTGCCCTCAGAGAATCTACAGGCCAACTAGGAAGACAGACAATTGAAGAGGAATTAAAGTATGAGCAGAAGAGGAAATGTGGATTGCAAATAAACTTCAGAAAAGATGCTCAACTTCATTAGTAATCAAGGAAGTAAGAGATAAAGCCCAGTTAGGCGCTCATTTCCTACGACATCATATTGGCAACAATTTTAGTCTGACAGGTCCAAATTGGAGAGGATGTGAAGCAGCAGGGACTCTTTTACACTTCTGGTGGGTGTAAATTGATCAACCATTTTGGAGAACAATGTGGCAGTAGCTGGGAAAGTTGGAGGCTCTACCCTCAAGCATCCCACTCAGACATGTGTCTAAGGACACAGAAAAAAGAATGTTCATAGTAGAGTGTGCACAAGAACAAAAGATTGGAAACAATCTAAATGTCCATTAGCCAGTAATAAATATGGTAAGGAAATAAATAAATATGGTAGAATCATATAAGGGATTATTGTATGGTAATGAAAATGAAAAGAAGGGCCAGGAGCATAGCTCAGTGGTAGAATGCATGCTAGGGAAGGCTGGGGTTGTGGCTCAGTGGTAGAGCACTTGCCCTATTACATGTCAGGCACTGGGTTTAATCCTCAGCACCACATTAAATAAATGAATTAAATTAAGTTATTATAAAAATTATTTTTTAAAAGAATGCATGCTTACGATGTACAAGGTCCCAAGATCAATTTCCAACACACACACACACACACACACACACACACAAAGTGGGGGAGAGTTTCACTTTAAAACTCTCCCCTCAAAAAGTACATTTCAGAGCATAGAGGTATGATGCTATTTATGTGAAGTTTAAAACCAAGCCAAATACTATCATATGATATATCGTGTAGAGACACATATAAAGAACTCCATGGGATGTTAAGTACCACATTCAGGAGAGTGGTCCCTTGGCAGTGGGGAAGGGATATGTTAGAGGAAAAGGGATGAGACTGGCCAGGGGTGCCCAGAGGCTTCTGCTGTGTGTATTACTTAAGCAAGGTGCTGAACTTGTGTGCTTATTATACCTTTATATAGGCCTTAAATAGTTGATAATATATTATAGATAACTGAAGTGGAATGGGATTATGGCTATGGAGAAGGGAAATAGAAAATTAAGACACGTGTAGCAGAAACAGAATCAAGAAAGACTTCTTAGACTAAGTGGCATTTATTCTAAATCAGCAGGAGAAATTAAGTAGAGGGAGGGAGGGAGGAAGGAGGGAGGAGGAAGTTCGTTTCAGGAAGAGGGCAAGAGAAAATTTGGCAAAGGAATTGAGAGAAATTCTGTGAGCTTAAATATAAGGAGTGGGGCAGGAATGTACACCCTGTCCTAAGGGCAACGAGGAGTCAGTCAGAGGGGAGTGTTTGAGCAATGGTGTGGTCATATTCTCATTTTAGGGAATGTCTCCTGCCATGGTGTGGAGAGGGATTGGAGAGGCAGGACAGGATGTGGATGAGTTTGGAGGCTGGCTCAGAGAGGGTATGGTGGGAAGCAGGAGGGTTAAGACAGATTTAGGAGACAAAAACAGACCTGACAAGACTAATTTTCTCCGGGGTTCTCTGCCTTCCCCTTCCAATAAAAACCATTCACATGTAGCATCTTAAAGTGGATGTTTCCAGAACAACAGCTGGACTAGACTGGATGAACTTCTGGGTTCCGAAGACTATACGCGTCTACTGACTTACCTTGGCAGATTCAGGGTTAGGCCAACCTGGGTTTGAATCCCAGCCTTCCCACTTGATGGCTTTGTGATATTGGGCAAAATACTCACCAAGCCTCAGTTTCCCCATCTGATAAATGGGGAAAAACAGCTCTTCCTCTTATTGACAAAAAGAAATCATGACTATAGAGCATGTCGTTCCCAGACCTGGGTGATAGTAAGCAACTAATAAACGTTTCCCATCCCTCACCTCACCTGCCATCCACCTTTGCATAGTACTGCATACTGTGCAGTCTTCACCTGTCTGTCTTCCTCTTGGTTGTACGCCAGGCTCCTCGATCTACCTCAGAGTTCCTTTTATCACTCTCCAATGAGCATTTTCAGATCTAAGCTTTGGCTTGTGAAGCACAAGTCTGGAATTCCCCAGAGACCCAGCAGAATGTGATACCTGTACATGGCCAGAAGTCTGGTGGGTTGTGCTTCTGCCAGTGAACTTGATTCCTGTTCCCTCTCAGGTCCAAGTGGGTTCCACGGGGTGATTACATCGCCTCCAACACCGACGAGTGCACAGCCACACTGATGTACGCTGTCAACCTGAAGCAGTCCGGCACTGTTAACTTTGAGTACTACTACCCAGACTCCAGCATCATCTTTGAGTTTTTTGTAAGCCCCTGGCCAAGAGTGGGGGTGGGGTGGTGAGGATGAGGGGATGGGGGAGGTGCTGGGAGGGAGGGAGGTAAAGCCTCTGAGGCTCAGAGTCATTTGCAGGAATCAGTCACAAGTGTTGTCATGCTTGGGAAATCACAATTATTTCCCCTCTGGAGAGGACTGTGGGCAATGAGTGGAGGCCTCAGGAGGCAAGGAGAAAAGGCAAAAGTCAAAGGACTCTGAGGGGAAAGAATGGAATCTGTGAATTTCCTAGGTGCTTCGCCCTGCCCAGACATGAAAACAGCATACAAATGGCTGAGCTGCAAATTATTTTTCTGGTGTAATGTTCTGATGTTCTCTTTGTGTAGCTAGACCTCACCCCACTTCAAGGCTCATGTCCCTAACTCAGTCCTAAAGAAAACTGGCAACTTTTCTTCCATCAGAAAGGGCCCTCTGAAGGGCTCTGCAGCACGGGGCAAGGCCCTTCATTCCTTAGAAAGCTGAACTCTGACCCCAAACTCCTGCTGCTTCAGGTCCAGAATGACCAGTGCCAGCCCAATGCAGATGACTCCAGGTGGATGAAAACCACGGAGAAAGGATGGGAATTCCACAGCGTGAGTACCTCACCAGCCTTCTCCTGGAGAGCCCAGAGGAGGGAGCAAGGCCTTTCCTAAAGGAGGACTTCCCCCACACTGAGCCTCCACTCTTGTGTCCCTGAAGGGAGTGGTCTGATGAGGATGCCTGCTTGCTTTCCTCTTGAGTGGTGGAATATGCATGTGGGCTGGCTTGTTGCTTCTATGGCTTCACCTCAAGGACCAGCAGCTTTCCAGCTTTGATACTGAAGAACCAGAGAAGAATGAAGGGATGTCAGTCACCCTCCCACCAAGACCCTTGGGTCCCTTTATTGGCCTTGCCATAGGTGATGCTCATGGCATATGCAATGCAAGGAACAGTGGGAGAGGGCACAAGAGGTTGTAAGGGGAGGCTTACGAAAGGGGAGCTGAGCCAAGCTGAGAAGAGGTGCAAAGCTGGGGGAGGACAGGGTCAGAACAGGCACTGCCTATCAGGTGAGAGGCTAAACCAGCAAGTTGGCAATGCTTGTCTCTGCGATGAACTAAGGCCTCCTTTTGGTCATTTTTAGGTCGAGCTAAATCGGGGTAATAATGTCCTCTATTGGAGAACCACAGCCTTCTCAGTGTGGTCCAAAGTTTCCAAGCCCGTGCTTGTGAGAAATATTGCCATAACAGGTACTGAGACCAGGGTTGGAAATGGGTCTGTTGCTGACTTCCTGGGGGGGTGGGAGTCGGTCTCCAGGATCTCAGTGCCCAGGCTCAATCCTTGCTTTTCTGTTCCATCCTTCCTCCCTAGGGGTAGCCTACACTTCAGAATGCTTCCCCTGCAAACCTGGCACATATGCAGCTAAGCAGGGCTCCTCTTTCTGCAAACTTTGTCCAGCCAATTCTTACTCAAATAAAGGAGAAACCTCTTGCCACCCATGTGATCCTGACAAATACTCAGGTAACGTTTCTGAGGGTGGGAAGAATTGGGATGGGGATACCCACAAACACACAGGGAGAAGAGCCATCCTTCTGGCCAAGCGGAAGATGATAATTCTTAAGCCCTTCCTTTCTGGAACCTGGATGATTCTTGACAATCCATATCCCCTCCAACTGCACCATAGGGAAAGATATTGCAATCCTTTCTTTGTAAGCAGTAAAATCTCTTTTATTTAATGAAGATTATATAAGATTATGATTATAAACCATCAGAATTGGAGATGTAGCTCAGTGGAAGGGTGTTTACCTAACATGTGTGAGGCCCTGGGTTCAATTCCCAGCACAACACCCCCCCAAAAAATTATAATTATGAACTACAGATACAGTAGATAAAAGGGGCATATAAATTTATGTCTTTTAATGTCTAACAATTATCATCAAAGTTAATTTACAGGAACCATGAGGCTATATTGATGAGCATAAACTTTAAGTTGTATTTTACTTTTAGATGACTAATAAGAATTGTATATATTTATGAGATATAATGTGATAGTATATGCATGCTTTATGGATCAAATCAGGCTAAGAGCACAACCACTTTAATAACAAGGTCTAAAGATGGAAGTTAAGGATATTTTGTCAAACTAAATCTCCGTTGAATTCAAAACAGACATTTTTTTTTCTTTGAGTTGGGATGTTGCTATTGTTGTCCAGGCTGGCCTTGAACTCTTGGGCTCAAGTGATCTTCTTGCTTAGCCTCCTGAGTAGCTGGGACTATAAGTGTGCACTACCATATTGATTTTTATCCAAATTAGGCACTTTGGAGAAATGCAGTCCTTGGAACACAGTTTGGAAACCACTGGTCTAAGGGATATTGAGGGACAGCTGGAAGCAGCCTATTTTTACAGTTACTGGATAGCTTCCTAAAACACCCAATATGAGAAACAGGGCCTGGTCATTTGAGGTGCCAGGGAGCATCAAAGCACTGATGGGCAGTGCCACCAGAGGGCTCTCTGCCCAGGCAGCCAGTGATGGTATTGGAGGTCCAATCTGCAAGGCAGGTCCTGAAACAAGAAGGGAGAGAGAAAGAATCCCCTTTTTGCCCCTGAAAATATTCATCACAATTCTTTTCCCTTTCTTACGCAAAACTATGTGCAAACCCAGCACAAGGCCCTCTCTTGAGCAGACCCCTATATTCCTACAGAGAAATACCCACACTTGGCACAGGCATTATGGTGTGTTTGCTTGGCCAAGACTAGCCACTGACCTTGTGAATTACTTCTTTCTATACTACTCCTAAAACAATAGTCCTATTTATTGACACAGGTCTTGCCAAATAAGTGTAGTTTTCAGTGAGAACAGGAAAGTTTAGATCTTGGGGGAAGTTTTTAACTCTAAGTCTAAATTCCTGTTTTTCCACTTGAATTTCTTATTCCTCTTCATTGCTCTGCATCTATCAATGGTGGCCTTTGTTAGTATGTCTCCGGTTCCTTTTTAAGCTCAGCAATTGTGCAAGGGTTTGAATGGCAAGGTGGTTTTAGAAAACCTGCCCAGAAGTGTTTTAATAAACTCTACATAAACTGATTTTTATAGAGAGCTATTATGAAAGTGTTAAGTTTGGAACCTGAATTCTTGGAGTCTATTCTTCTGCTACCAGTTTTTCAATCTGCACCTTTGACTGGGAAGTAAGTTTTTACTCTGAAGAATGTGGTCACATTCTGGTCACCTCACCAGCTTGTGGTGCAAAGAGAGTCACATTTCTTTGAGACCCAACTCTTCCAAAGGGTCAGTGAAAGGCTGGGAAAAATGCAGAGAGTCTGATAAGAGCCTGTGATGGAACATTCATGAAGAGCTTGACAGAAGACTCATCCGAATACAAGTGCATTCTGAGTGCCTGCAAGGACTGGCTTGGTGCTACAGTTGGAGATGGTGTCTGCCCTCCAACCTGTCAAAAAGCAGAAACATGGTTATAAAACATCTAAGTATAGTAACTTTTGATAGTGCAGTAGGGGTTGGGATAGGAATGCTGGGTTTAGTGTGCAGGGGAGGCAGAAAAGGAGGGGTGTTTAGGTCTCTCTGAGAAAGAGAGGCTGCACTGGCTAAGATCTTGAAAGATGAATTGGTGATACAATGGGAGCAGGATATTTGGAATAGGAAGAGTGTAAGCCAGGGCCACAGGCTTGGGGAACAAACCAGCATGGCTGGTGACTGAGTAGAGGGAAGCAGCATTCAAGGCTAAGAGGCAGGTGAGAGACAAATTAAGAAAAATTGGGGCTAGGGATGTGGCTCAATAATTAAGCACGCCTGGGCTCAATTCCTGGTGCAAAAAATAAAATAAAATTAGGATTTGCTAAAAAAAGTTGTTTTTAAAAAGTCTATCTGAGAGGGTTGGGGATGTAGATCAATTGGTAGAGTGCTTCCCTTGCATGCACAAGGCCCTGGGTTCAATCCCCAGCACCACCAAAAAAAAAAAAAAAAAAAAAGTTTACTTGAATGTAGAATAGTGATTACTAGAGATTGAGAAGAGTGAGGCAGAGGGATTGGGGATGTGGCAGAGAGATTGGGGAAGGTTGAATAACAGGTATTAAAACACAGATAGGAGGAATGAGGTCTACCCTACAGCAGGGTGAGATAACTATAGTTCCCAATAACCTATTATGTATTTTGTGAAGAATGTAGATGAGAGGTTCTCAGATGTTCCAAAAACAAAGAAATGATAAGGAGATGGAAGTGCTGATTATCCTGATTTGATGGATACACATGGTATATGTATTAAAATATCGCACTGTGCTCTATAGTAGTGCAATTAGTCCATGGTAGTCAATTAAAAAAAAATAGGATTTGATCCTATCAGCAGTGGAGACTATTAAAGGACTTTAAGCCAGGGGTGGGGGGGCTTGACCTGACCCATGCTTTTGAAAGACCACTCAGGCTGCCATGTGGAGGAGGAAGAGAATGGCTGGAGGCAGAGGCCACCATTGGGAGCTTCTGCAGCAGCTGCAGTTGCTGGTATCCAGAACATAAACTAAGGTGGAGCTTACAGGGCTGAAGACTGGAGAACTCACAGGAGAGATGTTAAGGGCAAAAGTTTGACTTGAAGCATCTTTCTCATCTAAACCTAAGAGTTGACCATTAGGATTAATTCCTCTGTGCCATGTTTAATGTCAGCTATCCATTTCCTAATAAGAATGTGGAGCTGATGAGTATGGACTCCAGAGCTAAGTGGCTAGGTTCAACCCCTGCTCCACCCCTTACTCTCTATGACAGCTTGGGCATAATACTTGTCTGTGTCCCAGTTGATCTTACCCTTGATCTTAACCAAAAAGGCCAAGAAGTGATTGTGCCTCAATTTCTTTTTCTCTAAAATGGGAACAAAAATAATTATATCTACCTCATAGAGTTATTATGGGGATTGATTAATGCAGATAAAGCATTTAGAAAGGGGCCTGGAATGTAGTAAGCACTGATTTTTATTAATTCCTTTTCATTAAGGCTTATTTGGATATTCCACTTTTAATATGAAAATACTCTTAGTATAGGTTACAGTAGTAAGTCATATGTATAGAACTTTACAATTGACACATTATCTAATTTATTATTCAGGGCATAGTGAGGGAGTAAAGAAAAGTTCAGAGAGGTTAAGGGGGTTGCCAAGTCTGAGCTGGTACCCAAGCAGGGCCTTGTGTCATCAGGTCCTTGAATCCTTAGTTTTTCCTTTGATAAAATGGGTCCAAGTGAGAGCATCGTACTTGTGGATATGGGGAGAAGATACTGAAAGGAGGAAGGATATTGAGAAGAGCTGGGGCCCTCTGAGATAAACTTTGTCTTCTTATAGTTTTGCCCAGGGCCAACTTTACCCAAATCACATTGCTCCCTTAGCCAAAAAGCATCTAGGCTGATCTTTTAAACTTGATGAGTGTACTCCTTAAACACCTTGAATGAAACCTGAGCTGGCAAAGTGAGGCTTATCTCAGCATTTGGGTTAATAATTTATGAAAACCATTTTAACAGTGGCTAGTGTGTAAACAGCTGGGCCATTTTTGTTAAAGCCCAGAGTTAGGGCGTCAGGTTAAGCAAATATTTGACAAGCAGAGCAGGGTCTTTGTGCAGAATGCATTTCCTAACACACACCTGTACTTTGCTAGACCCAATACACAAGATCCTGGGAACTGGCACGTTTTCAGCGTCTCCCCTCAAACCTCTTCTGGCAGTCCCTGGATCCCTTATGCTAAATTGGGCCTCTTGCTTGTTAACCAAATAAATGAGCTGAGAAGACTCCAGCTGTCTCCACCAGTGGTTCCCTTCTGCCCCCCCCCCCTCCCTGTAATAAGACAGGGACTGAAGAGACCAGGAAATGCGCAGTTGAGGAAACTTCCCAGTGCAGGGCAACCAGTCTGCAATTAGGCGGGTCTCTGATCTAGGAAGTCATTTGGCAAAAAGAAGGGATCAGTGGAGAAATAATCCCTTATCTGAAAGGGAGGGAAAGAGATTTTTAATCCTTATTAAATCTCCTGTGACAGTTTCCAAATAAAACATAATTTGCAAACATGCAGGTAATAATTGTTACTGCCATCTAATGAGTACCTACTTCCAAAGTGCCAGGCACATGCTGGCTCCAGCAAGGAAGACAGTGTTCTTCGGATGAGAGGGCTGAGGTTCAGAGAGATGAAGTAACTTGCCTAAAGTCACACAGCTACTAAATAATGAAACAGGATCCAAATCTAGATCTTTCTAACTTAAAATCTCATTCCACTATACCATGCCACCTGTCAAGTAATGTAAAGAGTGAAAGAAATGACACCATCATTAAGTGTTCACCTGCAGGGGACATAATATTCATATTAGAAGTAGTGGTAACAGCTAGGAGTATTATAATATATACTTTAAAAAAATATTTATTTTTTAGTTGCAGATGAACACAATACCTTTATTTTATTTATTTTTATGTGATGGTGAGGATCGAACCCAGTGCCTCACACATGCTAGGCAAATGTTCTACTACTGAGCCACAACCCCAGCTCCTATAATGTGTACTTTATAAAGCAGTGGTTTTTATTCTAGAGAAAGCAAATTCGCTGGAAAAAAATTTAATTTTCATTTGCATGAATTATGCATATTTTTCTAGATAGAAAAAGCTGTTCTTTTTTCTCATATTTCCAAAAAAAAGTTTTTTAAGTTCAAAAGAGGTGAAATAGATTGCTTTAAGTAAAGAAAGATTCATAAAATAGTTGTTCATTTCCAGGGGTTCACAGGGCTGGAGCAGAACTAACAAGACAGATGGAAAATGTACAGAATAGGGTAAAGCTGGTAGCTTTTCTCACTGGGTGGGGGTCAAGATTAAGGACAGTACTAGGATGCCTGGGTTGAGGAAAGTGGAAGGAACCTTCTGTTTTAAGTGGAATCCAAGGAAATTGCAACCTTGTTTTTGAAGGACAGTTGCACTGAGAGGGGAGATTTCAAAGGTGAAAGGCCTTCATGTTAGGCAAATGTTAAGAGAATATTCAGGGGAAGATTTTAAATAGAAGTCTAAAAGCACTGCCCTAAGCTTTACCACGTTTTACTTCAATCCTTCAGGAGTAGAAAAACAACACCGACAGTCAGGACACTAAGGCACCTGGATTGTAGCGGGTTTCAGGGAACTTGGGCCGGTGGTGGTTAACCTGCAGGATGCCATTTCCAGCTACTTCCCTCCTTGCTGGCCTGTAACCCAGTCACTTGACCCACTGCCCCACAGTGTGGGGCCAGAGGCTTCTCATAACACCCAGGAGAAGTGCAAAGGGTATCCAAGCAGGGCTTGGGAAATTGGAAACAATGCTATTGAGGCAAAGGGAAGGGTGGGCGTGCAGGATTTTCAACTTTGCACAATGTCTGTGTGGTAACATATCCCAGGGGCTTGAGAGTTGCAGGGTCATGAACAAGTGGTGGAAGGGCTTTGCTTTCTTATGCAACTTCAAATATTTTTCTTATTTCGGCAAATTAGAAAAAGGATCCTCTTCCTGCAAGGTACGCCCGGCCTGCACAGACAAAGATTATTTCTACACACACACCGCCTGTGATGCCAATGGAGAGGTGGGTTGCACAGCCTTGGAGCCCCTTAGCCCCAGGTAGACCACCTGCTGCTCCCTAGGCTTTATCAGTGTTTGAAGTTCCCATGGTCAGTGAAGCTGGTACCAGCTGAAACTCTGCAGACCTGTGCAGTGACCCCAGGGACAATCAGGGGGCAAAGCAAGACGGCTTTATTCACTTTCAGGCCAGAAACTGTTTTCGCTTCATTCATTTCACGGTTTATTTCCATATGCTCTGTTTCACAAACCATTTCATTTCCTTTTGCTTGGTTTCTCCCATTTGCTTCACCCCTCTGGGCATGCCTGCCTGTCAATGCCCGCTTACTTCCTCATGGATCGTGTCAGGCTGACTCCCCAGCGCTGCTCTTGTAGGTTGGCACTGGGAATTGGTTCTCACTCCCAGACTTGCTGGAGAATGGTTTGACTGGTTCCGTCTCTGTCGTTTCTCTTTCTCCCAGGCCTTCTGTCTCGAAAAATTCCTTTGTGCTCTGGTTGGCACTGAATCAACAAACACTTGTTGCATGCTAACTGATGTGCAGGTGGGGAATCACAGAGGACTGAGAACGGACTCCTGCTCTCACAGAACTCATAGTCTTGTGTGGGAGGCTGAAGAGAGGAAAAAGAGAGCCTAGACAAAGGCACTGGGGGAGCCCAGAAGTGGGGCAACCAGGCCTGAAGGGCCAGATAAGCCACCCTCATGGAGGAGGCTGTTTGTTCATTTCAACAGCCAACAAATATTTATTGAGCAGCTACTGTGTGCTGGGACATTGTGCTAGGCATTAGGTACAACAAAACCAAGGCAATATCTGTCTCTTATAGGGCTTAATTCCTGTTGAAGAAGGAGACAACTGGTAGACTACAATGGGTATATAATACATCAAATGGGAATAAGTGGTAGAAAGAAATAAAACTGAATTAGGAGACAGAGAATGAGAGGGTTGAGATGCTATTTCAGAAGAGGTAAGGATGGCCTAGGAGTGACTGAGCAGAGCTGAATGAGATGAGGGAGGACCCTTGGAGCTTTGCAGGCAGAGGGCGCAGTCTGTGTGGAGAAGGCTGCTTGTGCTTGGTGAATCTGAGGACCAGCATCAGTGAGGAGGGATGGACTGGAAGATGAAACTGGGTCTATCTTAGACTAGACATTCTAGATAAATTGTCTGTATCCCTAAGCCAGAGCCCCTTAAGGAGACAGAATTAGGAGTCAGGAATTCTGCAGGCAGCACGAAGCATAATGCTTAGCTATTAGAATGCATCAATGTTTGCTGGCTGAAAGACAACTCTCTCTGCTAATTAAGCATGAAATAGTCTGGTCCTTAACTGAGACTGTTTTCCCGCAGTCATCTCTTACCACAAACCCTCCTCTCCATATTTGGAACACTATTCCCTTCCCCAGAAGCCAAAAGAGAATGTCAGTCTTTGTCAGTTGAACTCTGTTCTGCTATGTCTGGTGTTCTGCATGGCTGTATAAAAACCACTTTCATATTCTTGGTACCAGCCTGGCACAGTGGTACATACCTATAATCTTAGCAGCTTGGAAGGCTGAGGCAGGAGGATCATAAGTTCAAAGCCGGTCTCAGCAACTTAGCAAGGCCCTAAGCTTTAGTGAGACCCTGCTTCTAAATAAAATATAAAAAAAGGCTGGGGATGTGGCTCAGTGGTAAGCACCCCTGGGTTCAATTCCTAATCCTCCCACCCAATAAAGGACATTTTCTTAGTATCAATTGATTCACTTATAAAATGAGCACAATTAATCCTGATCCTCTTCTCCCCACTAGGCGTAACAAGTGACTATGTGGCTGTCCTTTTTTTCCTCCTGCTCCATGCTTGCCTCTCCTGGGCTCAGACCAAGGCCTTCCAGATCTATAGCACACTGTGCTGCCTGGAGCCTGGTGTCTACCCTTGCCTGACCACCACTGGACCTCTAGGTGCTGGGGTCAGGCCAAAGTCTGTGCTCCTGTTGCATAGCACAGCCCAAGCGTGGCATCAAGGGATTGCAGAGGCATGAGCTTTAAGGAGTGCACATGAATATAGTGCACATCAACATAACACATGAATATTCATTCACCAGAGCGCCTTACAGAAGTCTCCTGCATGCCTCACACCCACATTGATTCTGCTCTGTCTGGTGATTTTAGTTTGTCCTCTAAATTATATTTTAAAATCCAGGGACATACCTCAAGCTGGTGCCTATGATTGCCCTGGAGATTTTTTGCTGCGCTTCAGTGGTTTCTCAGGGACCAGGATGGCCAATCCCTTTGGGCCACTAAATGTGCTGCTCCAAGAGATAACCCAAGTCAGTTCTCCTGCCCAAACCCACTTCTCTCTGAAACTCACAGGAGAAGTGCGGGGAAGGGTAAGGTTAAGACACAGCCTGGGGTTCAAGCTGCTCTTCACAGGGAGGAGGCCTGAGCTGAGCCTAGGAAAGAAGGAGGAGTCCCAGGGGTCTGCACCAATGAAGACACCGGAAGCTCCTCCCTAAGACCTTGTATTTTTTTATTTTTTGGTACTGGGGATTGAACCCAGGGCTTAGTGCACGCTAAGCAAGCACTCTACGCTGAGCTACACCCACAACCCAAGACTTTGTCCCTTATCTTGAACAAAAGGGACAGAGGCCTTATTTGCCCACCTTTTCACAGAGATGGTCATTTTCATCATCCCCCAGTACCATCCATCAGGGCACTATTTTGTCTGACTCTATCTGAGGGCCATGGGAAGAATGGAGCTGCCCACTCCCCCCTAACTCACCAGAAGTCTCCTGCACCCAATGCTTCTATGAAAAGACAAGGGATGGCCTTAGTGGGTGGCAGAACACGGCTTCTTGGTCCACTGACCTGTTGGCTGGCTGTTCCTTTTGCTTTGACAACGCATCAACACAATGTCCACCCTTCCCTCCTGGATTGTTATGTCATCACTACCCTTGCTAGACAGTAAGCTTGTGGAGGCCAGGAGCCATGTTTCATGCATCATGGAGACACCAGGTCTGGCACATACATAGATGTCTCAGACTTTCTACAGGTGTTTACTGAATAAGTGAAAGAGCAAAGGTGGCCAGTGATGCATGTGCGTATTCTCAGCGACTTGGGAGGCTGAAGCAGGAGGAGGCCAGCCTTGGCACCACAATGAGATCCTATCTCAAAATAAAAACTAAAAAGGGACAGGGTTGTAGCTCAGTGGCAGAGCACCCCGGGGTTCTATCCGCTATTGCACACACACACACACACAAAAGCAAAGAATGTACCACTTGGAAAACAAATTGGGACATCTCAACCACCTCCTTTTTACCTAGACCTTATGTAAGTCCCTGTACTCCATGTGCCTTTGTGTTCTGGGATTTTTACCAGCTGTTTTTCCTGTGGCTAGGGTAGTAGTGAGATTCTGCAATGGAATCAGAGTTTTTTAAAAAGACAACTGGTCCCCCATTCCTTCTGTCACAAAATCCTTATTAGACGCAACCCACTTCATCCAGTCAACATTCTTCTAGCAGTTATTGAACACAAACCTGCGTCAGGCTCGGAGCTAGGTGCTTAGGATAAATCGGTGACCCAACCAACTTTCCCCATCCTGGTGGAACATTAGTTCTCACCCAGAATCCCACCCTCTCACCCTCACCCCCACTCCTGCATCCTCAAGTTAAAGTCCTAAACACCTGCTAAATCTCACACATGCTGAACCATTCTTAATCCATCTCTGCAGACACAGCTCATGTACAAATGGGCCAAGCCGAAAATCTGTGGCGAGGACCTGGAGGGAGCGGTAAAACTCCCTGCATCTGGTGTGAAGACCCGCTGCCCACCCTGCAATCCAGGCTTCTTCAAAACCAACAACAGCACCTGCGAGCCCTGTCCTTATGGCTCCTACTCCAATGGCTCTGGTAACCTCTTTACTGCCCTGTGTCCTATCCATTCTTATGTCCTCTGTGTGGGTGCGCTGCGTGGATGCTCAGAGTAGCCAAACGCAGACTCTGCTCTTCCAAGAGAGGGAGTGAGGAATAGGTTGCCTCTGCAGACTACGTTCAGAAAAAGAGAGGTCAGGGCTGGCCCTGTCTGTAGGTCAGAGTCAGAATTAACATTGTATCTGTGAATCTGACTCACGCCTGCAGGGACCCAATTCTCATGACAGAAGCTTCCAGCATGTGGCAGAGATGCTAACTAGAAGGCTTGGTGCGCCGAGATGAACTTATATGCCACAGTGAAAAAAAGGAATTGTGGGGATTTGTGTATCAATTGTGAATGTATTTCGAAGTAGTAATGTGACAGTAATGTATGTGAACTATCTGCATCAGACTGAAAGGTGCATATGCATTTTTGTGCATATGAGTTTTTTTGAAATGAAAATTTTGGTGCACAAGGAAGATGGCTGGGATGTTGGAGGTATCAGAGTGAAGGGTCAGCATTTACATCTGAAGCTTGTTAAAGGTGTTGTCAATATGTGGTTGAGTCAGTTTGAATTAACTTTGTGCAACAGCACTTAGCAGCTGCCCTTGTCCGGCTGCCACTTGTCTGTGTGGCAGCAGCTCAGGCAGGGTGGCTGCAGTCTTCTGATGAGTGATGGATCTTGTGGCTCCCCCAGATTGTGTCCACTGCCCAGCTGGGACTGAACCTGCTGTGGGATTTGAATACAAATGGTGGAACACGCTGCCCGCAAACATGGAAACAACTGTTCTCAGTGGGATCAACTTTGAGTACAAGGGCCTGACAGGTAATTAACTCTCTCCTCACTATGAGCTGTCACTTCCTGCTCTCCCACAGGGTTTTTTCTAAGTTCATATTTCATCATAATAGTGAGGTCTGAGAAAAATAAGCCAATCAGGACAAGTATTCCCTTCAAAGTTCCACTCCTTGTGGGCATATATTCCATCCAAACTTAGGTTTCAGAGGCAGAAACAGCATGTACATATCCCAAAGATCTTGATGTGAGGGCTTCAGAGTCTTTACCAAAGTATCTGTATAAGCACTTTGGTTCTGGATGCCTCAAAGGACAGTGCCATTTCTCCCTTCCCCTGTCACCTGGTGCATATTTGCCCTGCACCTGAGAGCGCAGGGCGTTAACTCTCTCCTCTCATTTTCCAGGCTGGGAGGTAGCTGGTGATCACATATATACAGCTGTTGGCGCTTCAGACAATGACTTCATGATTCTCACTCTGGTTGTGCCAGGATTTAGGTGAGGACCACAAAGCCAAGAGGAAGCACCAGCCAACATGGCCACATCCGGAACCACATTCCTCAGAATGTTGTAGCTGAGAGGGCTTCTGAAGTTGAACTTCATTTCATCTTAGACATCGGTCCAGGACAGAGGGGGCAGATGCCAACACAATTTCTTAGTTACCACCTATGCTGACTTATCTACTACTCTCTCATCTCACCTGGCTTCTCCCACCGATTGGCCACATGCTACTTGAAAATTTCTCCTCCTCACATCAGAGAGCACTTTAAAAGTCTTTTTTTTTTTTTTTAATGGGGCCAGAAGTTCTCATATACAATTCATCTTTATTTGGGGCAAGAAGATTGAGAGGGATTTTTTTCTTGTTGTTGTATTACCCTACATCCCAAAAGGAATTAGGACAATGAGCAATGTGTTTGCCATTAAGGAACAGAACCAAAAGCTCAGCAGTGTGGTATGGTAGAAAGAGCACTGAACTGGAAGATAGGGCACTTGAACCCTTGAACTGTGTCAGTTGGTAGCTTTGTGAACTTGGGAAAGTCACTTTGCCTCTCCAGGCTTTAGGCTTCTGGTCTATAACATAGGCCTGTGATGCAGAACTCACTCAGGCTGCATTGATTCTTCCAGTCCATTAGTCAACACAACTGTGTAGAAGGAGCTGGGAACCAGAGTTGCTTAGAATCCAGGCCAATGGCTGAAGCCTAAAGAAAAGTCATAAATGGGTTTTCAAAGCCAAAGTGAACTCTTCTGCCCATGAGTGCTTCAAAGTTGAGGTGGAATCATTGAATGGACCCCCTATTGCCAATTTGACTTCTCCATCCCTCCTTGGAAGCCTCTGCTTTCCATTCCTGGGATGAAGTTAAGCCAATGGCAATTGCTCAAAGGGTATTAGTTTCACTTCTTTTAACCCACAGTATCCAGATATATCTTGTGTTTGTAAGATGAGCAAACTTAAAGCTTGGTGGGATAACATTCTAAAAAGTATTTTCCAATTTGAAACTCCAATTATAATGTGTTAATAAACTTTGTTACTATAACAAAATACCTGACATAATAAACTTCAAAAAAAGGAAGGATCTATTTTGGCTCACAATGTCAGAGGTTCTAGTCTATGAATCAGTTGGTCCTGTTGTTTTGGATTTGTGAAAAGGCAGCATATCATGTTGGGGATTGTGTGGTGGAGCAACCTGCTCACCTCATGGTGGCTGTGAAGAAAAAAGAAAGAGAAAAGGGGGCTAGGATCCCAATATCCCTATCAAGGGCATGTCCCCAGTGATATAACTCCTTCCCACTAGACCCTACCTCTTAAAGGGTCCACCGTCTCCCAGTAGCACCATGGGGAAGGAACCTAGCCTTTGGAGATGTCTATCATAGTATCATAGTAGGTGCTTCCTCACCTTCAACCCCAGACCACTTGAGCATGGCTCTTGCTTTCCCCAAAGAAGAACGAGCTTGAGAACTTTACTGAAGAGCTCAAATTCTGCTCCTCTAAGCCAGGCAAAGCTGAGTAAATGTAGACAGCTTACACCTTATGATAGTGGCACTTCTCAAACTTTAACATGCTTTCAAACCATCTGGGAATCCTGTTAACATGCTGATTCTGATTAAGTGGGCCCAGGGAGGGGCCTGATGAGGTTCTGTTATTGATTCTAATGAACTCTCTGAGCTGGTGATGCTCCTGGTCTACAGATCACCTCTGCATTTCATAAGGCACATCCGCATTTGTTATGCCTTTGGAAGTCACTACAATGATGAGAGGTAGATAAGAAAGATATTATCACTCCACTTTACAGTGGAGGAAATGACAATTTGGCTAAGTCAAGGTCACAAAGCTTGGGTGGCAAAACAGTTCAAGCTCTTTCCAACACACTCAGAAACTAATCCTGTCCCTTGGTTGATCCCTTGCTGCTTCCTGAGCCTTCAATAAGTACTGCCTGGCCTCTGGAACTGACCTTTGATTTCTGCCCCCACAGATCTCCACAGTCGGTAATGGCAGACACAGAGAATAAAGAGGTGGCCAGGATCACATTTATCTTTGAGACCATCTGTTCCGTGAACTGTGAGCTCTACTTTATGGTGGTACGTTTTCCTTTCTGTGGGGCTTCCAGGGCAGGGTTGATCCCCATCTGTCCCAGTTAACATAATGGACATGTGCTCAGAGTGATCCCACAAGAGGAAGGGCCCAGAATGACCATCAGGGTTTGACCAACTGTGATTGGCTCTGGGGTGGCAGTGGTAGGAGCACCCTCTTCTGCTCTAGCCAGCACGTCCTCCTCACTTTTATGTCCTGGGCTCAGGGCATGAATTCTAGAACCAACACTCCTGTGGAAACGTGGAAAGGCTCCAAAGGCAAACAGTCCTACACCTACACCATCGAGGAGAATGCCACCATGAGCTTCACCTGGGCCTTCCAGAGGACCACTCTCCATGAGACTGTGAGTCCCACCCCTTCCACCTACCCCTGCATCCCAGAAGAGACCTCTGAACCCAGGGGGATTCCTGGCATGTGCTCCATATGAATCTGAGGTTCAGAATCCAAGGCTGATGGCCTAGTGCAGGCCTCTGAGGATCGCGTGGCCTATATAAATGATTTTTCAGAGAAAATGACCAGTGAGCACCTTCAATCACCTATCTGTCCTCCAGCCCCTGCCCAGGGTAGAGCCAGGGTGGTGTTTTTAATAATAACAACTTTGGTTTATTTTCTTAATTAAAAGTAATATAGTGGGGCTGGATTGTAGCTCAGTGGTAGAGTGCTTGCCTCACACACATAAGGCCCTGGGTTCGTTCCTCAGCACCACATAAAAATAAACAAATCAAAATAAAGATATTGTGTCCATTTATAACTAAAAATTTTTTTAAAGTAATACAGTAATGCAGAAAACTTAGAAAATAGAAATCAGCATGAAGAAGAAATAAGATCAATCAAAATCCTACTACTCAGAGATAACTCAGTTAACATCTAAAATATCTCCTATAATCTTTTTTTCAGATTTAAATTTTTTATTTCTATCATCTAAAGTTTTCAAATTACCAAAGAAAACTTTAATTTTCTAAGTCAAGAAAGTCTGCTAATAGGGGCCGGGGCTGTGGCTCAGTTAGCATGCGTGAGGCACTGGATTTGATCTCTGGCACTACATATAATAAACAAATAAAATAAAGGTATTGTGTCCATCTACAACTACAAAAATATTTTTAGAAAATAAGAAGAAAGTCTGCTAATATATTTTAAAAGCATTTTCAACCATGCTTTGTTTATCAGAAAACCATATTTCCAATGTTGCCTGATTAGTAAACATATTAATAGAATACTTTTTTATACCAAAGCTTTTTACTTAGAAACACATTCAGATGTAATTTCCATTGCTTTTACAAAACCAAATTAGGTTCTTCTTTTTTTTTTTTTTTTTGGCACTAGGGATTGAACTCAGGGGCACTCAACTGGTGAGCCACATCCCCAGCCCTATTTTGTATTTTCATTAGAGACAGGGTCTCACTGAATTGCTTAGCATCTCGCCTTTACTGAGGCTGGCTTTGAACTCACCATCCTCCTGCCTCAGCCTCCTGAGCTGCTGGGATTATAGGCGTGTGCCACCATGCCTGGCTTGAGTTTTTTAATTGGTTCTTTTTAGATATACATGACAGTAGATTGCTATATAGTATTTATTTCTCTACAACATTTTTTATAAAGAACAGCCATTTTCATATAACAATATCTATTGTGTATTTCCCCAATGGTATTCAGTATTCTTTCACATAACTTAAAATGGGTCAGTCTTGTTTTAAAATGACACAAAATTATTAAGCACCACAACCAAGTGAATGAAAAGAACAGATTGCTTCTGAGTTTTCCAAGCATTATAGGATAAGACATCAAGAAATACTTGGCTATCCATTGTTGCTACTGTCTTCATCCTTCACCCTTTCCCCTCTTATTTCCTTGTCTCCAGGGCAGAAAGTACACCAATGACGTTGCCAAGATCTACTCCATCAATATCACCAATGTCATGGATGGGGTGGCCTCCTACTGCCGCCCCTGTGCCCTAGAAGCCTCTGACATAGGCTCCTCCTGCACCTCTTGTCCTGCTGGTTACTATATTGACCGAGATTCTGGAACCTGCCATTCCTGCCCCACAAACACAATCCTGAAAGTCCACCAGCCTTATGGTGCCCAGGCCTGCATGTCCTGTGGTCCAGGGACCAAGAGCAATCAGGTGCATGCAGTCCTCCATGCATTCTAATCTTGGGCCTCTGGTTAGATGACCTCAGAGGGTGCTGGGTCCTGGATGGGGTTCTAGTGGGTCTAATACCCAAGTGCTCCTCTTAACACATTCCCAGGTTGGAGTCCTGGTTGTGGCTGTAGGTGGTAAGTTCTTGGTAGTAGGGCTGATTTCCCTCAGTCATGGACAAGTTTTGTCTTCAGTTGATGGGTAAAGAAGATGGGTGACTATCTCATTCAGAAGGTTATTTCATATGTGCAGAGACCAGAAGGGAGAGCAATAGTAGGGCCTGGAGCCTAGTCCAATGTAGCCTGTTTTCATGGGAGGTTGTCCCCTCTCTCCTGGGAAGGTAATCCAACCTTTCCTGGGACAAATAGTTAATTGGCTTTATTAACTCCTATCCCAGTGGCTTCTCAGCTTTACAAGTGTAAAGATTCCTCTCAAACATATCAAAACAGTGCTATTGCCTATATGTACTTTCTGCATCCAAGAAAGTAATACAACTAAAAGTTCTTAGATAATCATTAATGCTTTTAAATGAATTTTTGTATTTTACTAATCACAACCTCACAGACATAACATCCATAAGATGTTATTTATCTGTTCTGTAAACATCACTTGATTTAGTTGCAAAGTAAGTACAAAGAGTCTAAGGGCCCTCGTGACATCTTTTTGTACCCAGGACTTTTATCATAACTTTCTTTCCTTGGAGTTTCCTCTGTGGCTGTGAGAGGGAATGACAGTGTGTAAGGCCGTGACTGAATGGAAGCAAGGAATGGGAAGTAATTCCCTCTTCTGAGTTTAATTTCCTACAGAGGAATAGGAAGCAGGGTTCAGTGAGTTTTAAATGTATAGGAGGGTGTTATGTATCAGGGGAAGAATTGTAGTTTCTTTCTTGCCATCCTAAACACCCTATTCTAGTTAGTACTGCATTGCAGGGCTGGGGCTATAGCTCAGAGGTAGATTGCTTGCCCAGCACGTGTGATGTCCTGGATTCAACCCCCAGTGTTGAAAAAAAAAAAACAGAGAGATTGTCCAAGAAATACTAATATTTGTTTGAGAATAGCAGAGAATCATAACGGGGATATGCTACAATAAACTATGGGTATAGACAAAGAATTTGAGACAAAGCGAAAATTTTAAAGACAAAAATGAGAAGGATTACATCATATTTTTTGGAACAGTAATCTTTGACTATAATGATGAGTAACAACAGTGGCATTAGTCCAAGGTTGAACAGACAGTTGCAGGACAGATGTCCTTGTACATTTTGGATAGTTTGTGGTGCAAGCTGGTGGTTCTGGCAGAGTGCTTTGTGAAAACTAATATCAGGCAATCATGCATAAGAACCTTCCTTCAGGCTTATATCATCGTATATGATTGAGTAGAAAGATGTATGTAAATCTCACGAGTATCAGTTTTGTTTGCCTCTTTTAATATCTGTCCCAAATCCTTTCTTCCTTCTCTTTCACCCTATTTGAGCTGGACCAGTCTGGGGGAAAGTCTGCTCTTCCCCACTGGGGCCCCTCAAAGGGGTGATACTGCATGACCAACCAGCCTGACCCATTCCTTCTCCCCACCAGATCCATTCTCTCTGCTACAATGATTGCACCTTCTCACGCACCACTCCATCCAGGATTTTCAACTACAACTTCTCAGATTTGGCAAACACCCTCTCCTTGTTTGGAGGGCCAAGCTTCACTTCAAAGGGGTTGAAATATTTTCATCACTTTACCCTGAGTATCTGTGGAAACCAGGTATGGTATGCAAGTTGACAGTGTGAGAATTGAAAAAGGGAAACTAGTGATAGGAGGCCAGAGACAGGACACAGGAGAAAAGCTAGAAAACCTTCAGGCAGCAAGAGATTGAGGAGGTAAAAAGGGTCTAAATAATTATAACTCTCCCTTTTCTCCCTGAAATTAAATAATCTGGATGATAAACATTTAGGAAAATTTAAAAAATGTTTTAAGTAAGGTGTTTATTGACTGACCTGATCTTGTTTTTCCCTCAGAGTGAGTACAAGTTGAACATTCCTAAACATTCCTAAAGTATTAAGATTCTGGAACATTTTAGATGCTGGATTTTCAGATTAGGGATGCTCAACTGATAAAGTCTATGAAAATATTCTAAAATCTGAAAAACTCTAGAAACAGAAACAGTTCTGGCCTCAAACCCAAGGTAGGCTGAGGTGGGAGGATCACTTGAGCCCAGGAGTTCAAGGTTAGACTGGGTAACATAGCAAGACGGGGAGAGAGAGAGAGAGAGAGGAAGGAAGGAGAGAGAGGAAGGGAGGGGAGGAGAGAGGGGAAGGGAGGGAGAGAAGGAAAAGAAAGAAGGAAAAAAGAAAGAGAAAAGGGGGCTGGGGATATGACTTAATGGTAGAGTGCATGCCAGCTTACTCAAAGCCCTGGATTCAATCCCCAGCATCATCAGGAAAAAAAAACAGTCTTTGATCCCCAGAATCAAAAAGAAAAAGAAAAATCTTCATTAATTATTGCATTTGTCACTTGTTTTCTAGAGACTGGAAAATAAACTGTCCCTAGTTCATCTATATATATCTTTGCTGACAGTACAAAAGAAAATAACATGAAAGCTTTTATAAATAAAGAATGGGATCTTCAGTCATTTCATGCTGCTGCAAATATTTTGGATCCAAAATCCAAAGTCAGAAAGAAATGTAAAGGGAGAGCCCACCACTACTGCCCTTGACTAATTACATACAAGCCATGATTAGCAGTGGGAAGTTCAGAAAGCTCATTCCAATATCATAAAATAGAAAGCATCCAGGGCACTGAGGCTGCGACTGTGGTGGGGAGGCCTTTGCATCTCACAGCTGATACTCTTTCTGTGCACCATGCAGAAGAGCATGTGTGTGTCTGCAAAGGGCATGTCAAAATAAAGGAATCTATGAAAGATTAGAGATGGGTATCTGTCCCGGTTTTAGAAATCTTTGAAGAATTAAAGTGAAGCCTCAGAAATAACAGGTAGTAGAAACTCAGCAAATGAGACTGATGAAAGCAAACCCCATGTAGCAAAAGTTTCAGGCCACGGGGTGGGGGAGTGGGGAATTTGAAGAAGTATGTCTTTTTTTCTTCCTTGACTCCTTTGTTCTTTTCAAAAATGCTATGTACAGTGACACTATAGATCTTCACTTCAAGGAAAAAGTAACTCTGTTTTATTATAATGTAAAGGTTGCTTTCTGTTTTAAAGCCTTCATCTACTTCTTATAATTGAGAAAACAAAAGATGCCAGATTTAGCTCTATTTGTAATAAAACTTACAACATTGAAAATGTTGTGTTCTGAATATTTAGTCCACTTAATTTAAAACACTGAGTAAATGATTTCACATTAGCAAATAGGTTATCTGTTGATATTCCATAAACTTAATATCCTCAGAAGAATATTAATTATTTCCTCTAAAATCCCAATAACAGAATCTCAACTCCTATCCTCTTTCAGAGTTCTACAGAGGGAGGTGTTTTTTGTTCGTTTGTTTGTTTGTTTTAGTCACTGATGGACCTTTTATTTTTATTTATTTATATGTGGTGCTAAGAATTGAACCTAGTACCTTGTACATGCTAGACAAGTGCTCTCCCACTGAGCTACAACCCCAGCCCCAGAGTGAGGTTCTTAAAGACTGAAAGTAAAGCAAACTTCCTTCTCTTGGGACATGTTTTCTAGGAAAAATGGAAGGGGTTCTGCCTAGCAGGGTGTCAGGCACAGTGGCACACACCTGTAATCTCAGGGAATTGGGTCGCAGAGGCAGAAGGATTACAAGTTTGAGACCAACCTGGTCAACTTAGTGAGACCCTGTTGATAAATCAATAAATAGGACTGGGGATGTAGCTCAGTTGTGGGTTCGATTCCCAGTACCAGGGCAGAAGGGAGAGGCGAAGGAAGGGATACTAACTGTCCTCAGATACTCTGCCTCAAGGTAGGAAGGGAGCTGGTTGTGGAGTTTGATTTAATACCTGGGAGACTCTGGAAAGTGCTTCTGAGACAAACATGAGACAAACCACAGCAGCATAGGAGAGCTAGAAGGAATGTGAACCAGAAAAAACAGTCAAATAAATTTCTCTGGCTTTCCCCAGGACCAGTTATATATTTCAGTTTCTGTCTAGAAAATGGATAAGGAAGACCAACCCTTCATTAATGGGCTGGTAGGTTAGAACTCCAAATCATCCTGTCTTGCTCAGGTAGTTCCTCCCTATAGTGACTCCAAGGAAATAAAAAGCTGGGGACCCCCTGGGCCAGAGTTCAAAAAATGGGACACAAAGGCCCTATTTTTAGCTTTTTTTTTTTCTTTCTTCTTAGTCTATCTTGTTATTAGACCTGGGATGAATCATCCACTGCAACGTACCACTGGAAGCCTGAACTTTTAGATGTCAAAAACTGTTCCCTGTTCTTTTTTGGGAATTTCTCTGTGACCATTAGCTTTTTCCCATCTTACTCCCTATATCCCACACACCAGGGTAAGAAAATGTCTGTGTGCACTGACAATGTCACTGACCTCCGAATTCCTGAGGGCGAGTCAGGTTTCTCCAAATCCATCACAGCCTACATCTGCCAAGCAGTCATCATTCCTCCAGAGGTGACAGGTTATAAGGCCGGGGTGTCCTCACAGCCTGTCAGTCTTGCTGATCGACTTGTTGGTGAGTAATTCAGCTGCTCCAGGCTTGCTTGAGTGTGTATGTGTGTGCACGCGCAATTGCATGCATGTTTGAAGTTGCCAAGCTAGAAGATAAATGTCCCCATGCGAAGAGCCCAACTTCCTGACCTCTCTATTCCATCCTGTGTGCCAAGTGCCACTGGGAACTCTGATAAACCTTTAGGTCACTTTTTCATGAGCCACTTGGGGATGCTATGAGAATGGAGTAAATTTGGATGTTGACAGGTATTGAAAGTGAAGTGTTTGCTAGCTAATGCTACTAGTGAGAACTAATTAGGAACTCTAATCTGGCAGGAGTGTCAACAGATACGACAATGGATGGAATCAGCTCCCCAGCTGAACTTTTCCACCCGGAAACTTCAGGAATACCGGATGTGATCTTCTTTTTTAGGTGAAGATGAAAGACCAGACTAATACAAGTGAACCTAGGAGTTGTCCACAATTCCTGTTGTATCCCTCTAGCTACCTCCTACTTATCAAACCAGAAATTGTCTGAGATCTAGCAGATCTGCATAGTCATGGAATAAAGGCTGGTTGTTCTCTGGTCCCAGCTTCTTGGGTATTATTAGGGGATCTGCCCTAGAGGCAGGGAAAAATACTGGAAGATTCACAGCGAACTTCTCTTCTAGCCTAAGGAGGCCCCAGTGACTGCTAGCCTTCCCTCTCTTAGCTGGTACATTTCCACATAGACTAGATCCTCCTGGTTCCCCTTTTCACCATATATAGCCCAATGCCTATGCACTCCCTTTGTGTTAGGCCTGAGCCCAAGTCATGACTTGCCCAGCCAGGGACTCATTCCCTGTTGATTTCACGTAATGGCTCTCTAATAACACGGTGGAGTGACTCTTTCCCCTATGGGGGCTGGCTTTCTCTGCAGGTCCAATGATGTCACCCAGTCTTGCAGTTCTGGAAGATCAACCACTATCCGCATCAGATGCAATCCATCGAAACCTTCCTCTGGAAGCCTGTTACTGCCAAGGTAATCCCAACAAAGGGATGTAACAAAGGCTACAGCCTCCCTTCCTTGGACTCATTCCATCTCAAGAGCCAGAGACTACTGAAAAAGGAGAAAATAGTTTGAGACCCATCAATGGACTTTGGGGGGGCATAAGCATAGGCCCTACTCCTCAATCTTTAAATCACAAGAATGGGGCAGAAGGAAGAGTCAAAACTACCCTCATATTCCCAGACCATTATGGTGGCAGCTACATATATAGTACAGCAGCTAACACCTCTTGGAGAACTAGATTTGAATGAGTAACTCTACTTACTAGTTATATAACATAAATGAATACATTTCTTATCATCTCTAGGCCTGTTTTTCCTTATCTGTAAAATGGACATACTGAGTTCCCTCAGGGAGTTGTTTGAGGATTAATTGAAGCAATGAGACTTTAGGACTTCTCTTAAAGTCTGGTCATGATTAAGAATAGTAAAAGTTTAGCTCAGTTGTAGAGTCCACCATGCGGCCTGCACATTGGTTTCATTAATGAGGTTCTTGGCATAAAAGTTAGCTAGCAGAGATCGAAATAAAACACACAGACTCAGTTACCTTTTTCTATGACCAGGTCCAAGATGGCTCCCCTCTCTGGCTCCAACCTCGAACCACCCGTAGGGCAGCAAGGATTACTCAGGACTAGCAGGAGAGAGAGAGAGAGAGAGCACGCCAGGGAGTAGCCTTTTATTGGGGAACAAGAAATTCAGGGGAGAATTCCATCCAATGAAGGTTGAGGGGGGGCCGCATTCCAAGGTCAGGGTCAGTGATTGGGCCCCCCGGGTCAGTGGTCAGTAACACCCCCACACGGATGGGTTCTCTCATCAGGAGAGGGCCGGGAAAGTTCCCACACAGCCAGAACGCCTCAGACCCAAACCGGGAGTCGCCCAGTCACGTGTGAGAATGGCTCTCCACAGTAGAGTGCTTGCCTAGCACATGTGAGGCCCTGGGTTCAATCCTCAGAAGCACATAAAGATAAATAAATAAAAAATAAAGTATTGTGTCCATCTACAACTATAAAAATAAAAAATAAGAAGTTTAGGAATCCTAGGAATCTCAACCAAAAGACACAATTCTGAGTTTAATAGCTGAATACACTGGATGATGAACTTCCAAACTAATATGACCACAGGATACCACTCCCTCCTTTTATTCCCCTACATATTGCCAACTAATGTCTTGGGTGGGTATTGGTGTCTTGAGGAGCACAGTGGGGAAATGTTGCTCCAAAATCACTGATCACGTAGCTGAAGAGCAAAGCAGGACAGCTTGATCCACCAATGGTGTTAGAGTGTGAAATCACTGTTCTTGCCATTGTAGACATCATTGTAAAGTACAAAGCAGATATCCATTCCCAAACTCCACCCCAACTCTGACCCCCAGCCCCCAGGAAGCTGCATCAAAGTGGCTATTGCAAAATTTCACCTGTTCATAGGGAAGACAGGAGCCATGGAGAAATTGATGGGGCAACCATGCTAGAGCTCAGACAAGTTAAATTATATCTGATGTCAGCAGAAACATGAATGGGCAGAGAATGGGGAGCCCAGTGGAGGCCTGGGAGACCTCTTATTATCAGGGAAATTGAAGATCAAAACCTTAGTTAAGGTTGGGTGTGGTGGTGCATGCCTGTAATCCCGAGGACTCTGGAGGCTGAGGCAGGAAGATCACAAGTTTGATCCTTAGCAACTTAGTGAGGCCCTCAGTAACTTAATGAGACCCCGTCTCAAAATAAAAAATAAAAAGGGGTGGGGATGTAGCTCAGTGGTAAAGCACTCCTGGGTTCAATCTCTATAACATACAAACAAACAAACAAAAAATCTGAGTTAAGAACCAGGGGAGGGGGCTAGGGTTGTGGCTCAGTAGAGGGCACTTGCCTCACATGTATGATCCTCAGCACCATATAAAAATAAACAAAATAAAGATAGTGTGTCCATCTATAACAAAAAACCAAAACAACAACAACAAAAACAATGGGGAGGATTCTGGAGGCAGTCTGGGCAGAGAGGATAAGAATTGGGCAAATGACAGAACAGGCCACCAGTGCAGCAAGCAAGAGCTCAGGTCTCCTTTCTGCTTTGCTAGCATGTGCTCTGATGGGACCTGCGATGGCTGTAACTTCCACTTCCTGTGGGAGAGTGTGGCTGCTTGTCCACTGTGCTCGGCTGCCGACTACCACACTTTTGTCAGCAGCTGTGTCGCTGGGATCCAGGTAGGTTGCCCTCTGACTGGGAACTTCCCAGGAGTGAAAGGAATGTGGGATCTGAGGGCCTTGCCTTGCTTTTCTCCCCAACAGAAGACTACTTACATGTGGCGAGAACCAAAGTTATGCTTCCGTGGCATCTCCCTGCCTGAGCAGAGAGTCACCATCTGCAAAACAATAGATTTCTGGCTGAAAGTGGGCATCTCTGCAGGCACTTGTACTGCCATCCTACTGACTGTCTTAACTTGCTACTTTTGGAAAAAGAATCAAAAGTAAGTGATGGGGTATTAGAGCTTGAGACTGGGCAGGGTCGGATCACTGAGCAGAGCATAAGTTAATTGGGGCTTTCTTTGAATTTGGCCATAGACCCTGTGACTCTATCCAGACACTATCAAGCCACCTATCCAGTGTATTCCTTGCTTATCTTCACTTCTAAATAGGGACAGTACCATCTGGCAGTCTATAAATGACTGCAGGATTCTCAAAAAAAAAAAAAAAAAGCAAAGAGTGTCCCTTGGGCTGGGGGTGTTAGCTCAATGGTAGAGCAGTTGCCGAACCTGCAAGAGAACCTGGGTTTGATCCCCAGCACGAGAGAGAGAGAGAGAGAGAGAGAGAGAGTCTTAAATTTGTTTTTATTAAAAATAATACACATAATGACTTCATGGCTTCAATATACCCATTAAGCTTTGAGATCCAAAGAATAGCCACCCTTAAAGAAAAAAGGTCACTGAACTAATGAGCCAAGACTCCTTCCGTACACCCAGCCCTGACACTATTTTGCCATGTTTCCATCTACATGTCGTGGGGAGTAACTGTTTACAGCCAAGCCTCTCTCCTTTCTTCCCCCTTATTCACACATTCTGGTATCTTGCCTCCCCAACCCCCGTTTCATAGGCTAGAATACAAGTACTCCAAACTGGTGATGAACACTACCCTCAAGGACTGTGACCTGCCAGCAGCTGACAGCTGTGCCATCATGGAAGGCGAGGATGTAGAAGATGACCTTATCTTTACCAGCAAGAAGTCACTCTTTGGGAAGATCAAATCGTTTACCTCCAAGGTAGGGGACCAGTGCACTAAGGCCAGCCTGAAGGGCTGGAGAAGACGCCACTCTTATTGACCCTGCAGGGACTACTACTCTGCTCCCAGCTCCCCTTACCATTCTATTCCCCACTCAAAAACCCTGCCTTCTGCCTCCTGTGTTTGATACCAGTACTCTTTTTCCTGGTGCCCAAGTCTACTGTTGACCAGGCTCCTTCTCCCACAACATGTACTCCAGTTGGTGAACTGTTTGGGCCTTTTAACTTCCAGAAGGAGTACTGAACCATCCATATTTTAAGAATCATCCCCCAACCATGTTTTTTGGAGGGGAGAAGAGTCCATCTCTAGAACTAGCTTCTGACAGAAGCGAGGCTCTCCTCTAACCAGTGGAGGGTGCTGTCCCCCAGGTGTCTGGGCCCAGTCCTGTAGGGGCTGAGTCATAGCTAAGTCTAAGGTGTTCACCACCCAGCAGCTCTGAGCTGGGAGGGTTGACACTATGTGGGCGGGTGAGTGAGTGTGGAGCTCATAAATGCAATACAGACACCACTGTCGCTGGGCGTGGGGCCAGCAGAAAGCATCCAAGCAACTCCTCCAGGGAGTGCTACTGCAGCCCCACTCTGCGAGAAAGCACACCTGAACACTGCCCAGAACCAGTTCATCCAAACATGTGTGGGTGGGGAGAGTGGTAAGGGGGAGGAGAGGACAGGCAGGATGGTGAAGAAAGATGGCAAGTGTTTAGATTGCTGAATCCTGATCCCATTGTGCTGACCTGCCATAGTGACGTCCTTGGTCTCCTTAGACCTTGATTTTTTTTTTTTAAACCAATGGGAGCACAGTTCCACCAAGATTCCTTGAGTCAATCTGAGACTACTAGAATTCAGCAAAGATGTAACGTGGGGAGCCATGTAATTCCAGCAAGGTGGGAAGCAGAGGCAAGAGGATCACAAGTTCAAGGCCAGCCCAGGCAACTTGGCAAGACCCTGTCTCAAAAATAAAAAATGGAAAGGGCTGGGGATAGAGTCAGTGGTAGAGCCCCACTGGGTTCAATCCCCAATATAGGGCTGAGTGGGTAGTGCAAAGCAGGGGATTTTAAAGGTTTTTCTTATTCGCTGAGCCTGATTGGAGCAAAAACAGGGGGTATCTCATCTCTATATTTCCACAAAATCACCGAAAACAGGAGTTCCATAAGGGTTCCTTCTGTCGCTTATTTTCCATTTCTCTTCTTTGTCCTCTAAACTTGCCCCCAACCTATGCAGCAGCCAGCTCCTGTCACCATCTCTCTTTCAGAGGACTCCTGACGGATTTGACTCAGTGCCATTGAAGACATCCTCAGGAGGCCCAGACATGGACCTGTGAGGGGTGTCACCCTGCCTCACCTGCCTCCTCACTTTGGCACATCACCTAGCAAGCCTGAGGCAATTTGGGTGCCAGCATCCTGCAATATCCACTGCTGGAAATCTCTTCATTGTGGCCTTATCAGAAGAAGTTTGAATTTCAGATCTTGGTTTTTTTTTTTTTTTTTTAATAGAGTACCCAAACCTTCCTTTCTGCTTGCCTCAAACCTGCCAAATATACCCACACTTTGTTTGTATATTATTCCCTTGCTTGCATCTTGTTTCCTAAACCGGCACAGCCAAGGAAGCTGTCATAGCCTCATCTGCCCATCATTCTTGTAACTCTAGAGTGAAAAGATTTCTCCTCTTCTTAAGTATAAGAATGACTCCTTCTGTCCTCTTAAGGGCAGAAACAGCTGGGAGTCTTCCTGATCATATGCCCTCAGCTCATGATCTCTTTAGGGGAGAGGCTGAGTAGGGGGGGTGTCTAGGTTCTCTGGTGGATGATCTTCATGGTAGCCTGAATCCATTTTTTCCTAAATAATCAGCTCAGGATGAGGGTAATGGATAGTTCTAGGCCAAGGTGAGTAAGGCCTGCATAAGAAGAGGCTTGAGAAGCACAAAGAGAGGCAGTAAGGAAGGGTTTTGTTTTGTTTTGTTTTATAACCAGGTACCTCATTTTCTTTAGTAATAAATATTCTCACAGAAGCCAAAGGAAAAAAGTTTATCAAGTAAATACCCAGAGCCCTCGTGGATCTAGTCTCTGCCCTCCCTCCTTTTTTTCTTTATACACACACACACACACACACACACACACACATCCCACCATCTCTTTATGACACTAAAGACAACCAGGTAAGCCCCAAACCCCTATGTCTAGCCTTATCCTCGATTGGCTTTTATCGACATAGCAAACTCTTGCCACTGAGGACAGTTTCATCCTTGGGCACCCTATCCTTGGGACCATATTCCAGGACAGGTAAAAGAACATAGGAGGCCAAGGTGTTAATGTGGCATCCCGGGGATTACATCCCACAATGGCATGGACGTGAGGTGGCCATAATGTGTGCTTCTGACTTATCTGCTCAGCCACAAAATCCAGTAACTCCTAGGCTAGCCAGAAAGGGAATCAGAACCCCCACAATAGAACCAGACTGGTCTTCAAGGAGGGAAGACTAGGGGAGTCTAAAAAAAGATGTGCACCAAACTGGAATGCTTCTCATTTCTTTTATGCAATAAAAAGCTAAAAGGACTTTTGGCAACACATCCTTTGACCAGTTAATAGAGTGGATGAACTCTGCCCAGATCCTACTTTTACACAACTATAATCAATGAACTTGAATGGTAAAACCAGAGCAAAACTTTCAATTATCTTTTTCTTTCTACAACTTTCCTTCTGGCAATTCTCCCTCCCTTACAATCAGGCCTGCACAACCATCCCAAGCCCCAGTTGCCCATGATTTGTACCTGTGCCCTTTCTGCAGTGGTCATATGGTGAACAGATAGTATTAGAATGGAGTGGTTTGTGTGCTACTAAGTTGTTTGCTCATTTTATTAGCCACAATAGTCTAATGAGAGTCTGTGATAAGTGGAGCTAGGCCGTTGATAGCATCTGTGGTGGCAGGGAGTCCCTTTGACTCAATATATCTAGCTTTTATTGGGCAGAGCCACAGTCTCCCTCCTGTTGTGGGAGTCAGGCTTTCAGAACCTGAAGCCATACTAGAAGTCCCCCATGGATGCACATAGACTCCAGTCTTCTGCAGCCTCAGCATCAGCAACTGGGCATCTCTGCTCCCCACTGAATAACTGCCTCTTGTAACAGGGGCCACCGTTGGTCCTCCAGCTGTTCTGTAAGGACTGCAAAAAAGTACACCCCTTTGACTTCTTTATTGTGGCCTAGATGCCCTCAGAGTAACCTCAAACTCCACTCATTTAGTTTATAGCACTTTAAGGATCTCCTTTTTACTTCCCATTACTGGGCTGATTTCCACTGGAAGGGGTCACCTTTTGATCCCCTGGCAACATAGATACTCCAGATATTTTAAATACAGATTTATTGAGATTTAATCTACATATCATATAATTTGCCCATTTAAAATATACAATTCTGTGGCTTTTTGCATATTCATAGAATTGCATGTATTTTTTTTTCCTGCAGTGCTGGGATGGAACCCAGGGCCTCTCACATGTGGGGCAAGTGAGTTACACCCCAGCCCTGTACATTCATTTCAGAACAGACACATAGTAGATCTGTTATGGGGGGAAAGACTTTAGTCCTTGACCCAGAGTGGTTTTCACAAGCTATTAGGGGAGAGTGTGTGGCTCAGGAGATAAAATATTTAGATCCTGTTTGGTCACCTAGAGTCCTGGCACCCATAACTAACTTTCATCCTGTAGCTATCACCTGTATTTATTTAGCTGGGAATACCAATGAAGATTGTGGTGTATCCAAGGACCAGGGGATTTCTTATGCCAACAAAAGAAAAAAATTTTTTTAGTCTGACTCTACATTAAAGATAAGACTGACTATATTTATACAGCAGAGACTTTGTAACAGATTTTTCAGATTTGTGAAATCAAATTTTTGTCTCATCAGGAATGGTTGGATTTCCTTTTTATTCTGTATTCTAAGCATTTATAGTTTGTTAGGGGATGGGTAATGCATGTTACATTTTTTTTGTGTGTGTGAAATAAAAACATGCCTTTTGAGTTGTTTTTCTAGAACATAGATGGGGTGGTTGGATGGTTGAAGGGGAAGTGGTAAGTGTCCTTGAAGCCTAAACAGAAGAGGAGAAGGAGACAGAAATGAGCACAGACTTCAGAGCACCACAGACCCAATTTAGAAGCCTCTTACTACCTGTTTAGGAATCAGTCAATACGTAAGGCCTCAGTTTCCACAATAATAAAATGTATCTAAATACTAAGAATGGATGAGGGGCAAAATGGATAACAGGTAAAACACTTAGCATGTGAGTTTCCTGCCAGCCCAGTTCAGATTCTCTCAGGTGGCACAAAGCCAACCACATAATAACATATCTACAAAGATAAAATTAGCTTTTGGGGTAGGAGATGGATTATTATAGACTAAATGAGAGGAAAATCCTAGAGGATATCAAGGACCTACCATTTCTAAGAGTAGCTGGATTGTCCTGCTTCTACCTTCCTTCATTCTAATTGAGGGCATTTGACTCCCCAAAAGTATCCTCCTGGCTAAATGAGTTTGGGACTTCACAGACTTTTAAGTCTGAATGACACCAAACACCTGGTGATCTAAATCAGATTCCTTAGGTTAGCCTCCACACAAGCCTCTCCTCCTCCAGTCCCCACTCTCTTCTCTGAGGCCAGAGTCTTTTCTCTAACACATATCTGATGGCAAAGTGCAAGAATCTCTGGTGGTTCCTCATCGCTATCAGGCAGGACTTATCCTTAGTAGGTGCCCTTCTGTATTCCAAGTTTATGGTTTATGACCCACATCTATTTTCACCAGGTAGCACCTGGGTTGCACTACTGGTTAAATATTTTGAATATCACCCCTGCTTATAGGATAAAGTCCAGACTCTAAGAATGAAAGTAGAAAAGGAAGTGCATTAATTTGGCATCTGCATGTGTCAAGTCTGGATGGAGTGCTTTCAAGGCATTACCTCACTCAGTTCTCTGTACATTCCAGAGGTGGGTACCATTTCTCTTACAAGAGAGAGAGAAATTCTAGTATGTGCCCTACAGAGTCCCTATAGCCCACCCTGCCCCTTGCCTTGTTGTTTATACACCAACCACACTCCCCACATGGGCACAAGCTATGTGCCTCTGTGCCTTCCTTCCCTTTCACCTGACAGATCTCACCCAGCCTTCGAGGTCTCCTTACTGTGAGACTTTCCCTGGCTCACCCATTGGGTATACTATAGCGAAAAAACAATCACGTGGGAGTCCTGCTGTTAATTTTCATAAATTCAACAATATATTGTACAGCATCCCAGTGTAACAATCAAGCCACAGACATAATTGAGCCTAAAATGAGGGTGTATGTGCAAATATTTTAAAGATCTCCCAATCATTGCTGAAGTATCCAGGCAAGAAGACACAACTTGGTCTAAACCTTAAAGTGTTTAATAAATTGGGAACCACAGAGGAACAATGTCTATTGAACAGATGGAGAAACTGATATAGGGTGACAATACAAAACTTTATGGATAATTTAAGAACTATTAAAGAAGATTTTAGAACATAAACTAATTTCTTCTTATTTTCCGAAGCCAATAATTCCACATAAAATGCAAGTGCCTATAGGAAACAGTGTGGTAGGAAAGGAGAGACACCTCACCCCAATTCCATCTGAGGGAGAGGCTGGATCAAGGCTTCCCTCTACCCCACGTCTGGCAGCTTTCAATCACCCATGCTATTATCTTCAAATTTTTTCTGAGTTGCTCAAGGACAGCAGTATGGTGTCACTCAGAGAGAGAGGAGTGGGCAACCCAGGGCTGGAGTTCCTCCAGAAACAGCATAATAAAAACTAGTGTACTGTGGGAAACCAGAGAGTGCCTAACCCTTCTGGGGGTGGGGGGAAGAGGGTGTCGGAGTAAGTCCAGGAGGAAGGAGGAATTAGCCAGTTAGGAGGAACACAGGAAGGAAAGGGAGTTCAGGTAGAAGATTGTTCAAAGAAAGGCTCCAGGGCAAGGAAAGGGAGTCACAGGTAGTTTGGCTTGGAAAGCGCACTTGTCCTGAGTTAAAGAAAGAACTTGTAGTAGAAGCTGGTAGGGGCAGGTCATGAAGGGCTTTGGGAGCCTGTTTGGACTTTCATTGTGAGGGCAACCGGTTGCCGCCCAAGACTTATAGCAGGGGAATGACAGGATTGGACTTGCTTGTCAAACACTGAGAAATCTTACTTCAAGACAGTGAAAGGAACACAAAGAGAAGCTGAAGCGAGGCCTCAGAGAACCTTTCCACATTAGCCAGTTCTGAATTGGTAAAAACTGAGGGAAGCAGTTTTGATTGGCTGCCCTCTCTGACTTTTCTTGTTTCCTCCCTGAAGGTGTTCATTCCCCTGGGCTGTCTGTCCCCAGACTGCCCAGGATGCTTAAGGCACTACCTAATCCAGGATTCTGTTCCTGGAACCTGCTATTAGCTTCTATCCTGTCAGCCTCCTCTCTGCAACTCCTTCACCTGGTGAGCACGCACCTAATGTGTAAGGCATTGTGCTAGATTCTACAAGGATGAAAATGCAAATACCCAAGAGCCCCTGCCCTATAAGAAAAGGCCACACATTCCAGGAGAAAAGAAATGGGGAGGGTAGCAAGTCCACACTTAACCTGTGTACTTGTTTTGTCTACCCCTCAATTTTCCCAGACCTCAGTTTTCTTATATAGAAAATAAAGGAGTTGACCTACCTCACTGTTGAGGGTCCTTGAATTCCTGAGTCTTTCCAGGCAGCACCCAAGAGCTATTCTTGGTATAAAGTTCTAACAGAAATGACACATCCAAAAGTGGTATGGCCTCAAACCATCACTACACAAAGCCATAGCTTTATGCTGATTTGTTCCTGTGTTAGCTTCTGGCAGAAATGACTTAGTGTAGTGACATTGGTTATTTTTTTACTGATCAGAATTTCTAGTTAGCAGTCATATTTGATTAATTACATAAAGAAAATGAATTACTATTATTTTTGAAAATCACGTTAGCCTAGTGCAGTAGCACACCATTGTTATCCCAGCTGCTCCGGAAGCTGAGGCCAGAGTATCCCTTGAGTACAGGAGTTCAAAGCCAACCTGGGCAACTTAGGAAGACTTGTCTCAAAAAAATTTTTAAAAATTATGTTCATTGGACACAAAGTGTTCAAAACATAAGGGAAATGTGACAAAAAGATAGGGGATTATTAGGCTAACAAAGAACTAAATTTCTTCTTCAGCTCTAAAATTCCTGATTCAACAATGATAAATGAAATATGATATTATATTACTGTGTTATATTATCAAATAACATGAGGATTTTATAAGGGGATGTCTGTAATTTAATAAGACAAATGGTGAAAATGTCCAAGCAAAATTGGAGAGCCAGATTTTTTTTTTTTTTTTGGTACCAGGGATTGAACCCAGGGGTGCTTATCCACTGAGCAACAGACCTTTTTATTTTTTTGGAGGGGTACTGGGGATTGAACCCAGGGGTGCAGATCCACAGAGCCACATCTCTGAAAGAATTCCCCACGCAAAGACACTTCGCCGGGAGAATTCCAATTTTATTGCAAAAAGCTGTGTGCTTATATAGAACTAAGGGGGAGATGGCAGGGCTTAGATAAATGGCAGGCAACCCGTTTATTGGCAAGTTCTTTCAGATATCAGCTCCGGAGCCCAGGAATTAGTTCTCACTGGGGCTAAGTTTCCCCGCCAGCGAGATTTGAAATTGGCGCTGGCGGGAGAGTTCACACAGGCGGGAACTTTTCGCGCCACTACAGAAAAGAAGAAGGTAGGAAGAAGAAGTCCTTAGGCGCCATGTTGGGGTTTTTCTCTGGGGTATGGCTGCCGTTTATACTTTTCCCAACAATCTCCAGTCCTATTTTTGTATTTTATTTAGAAACAAGTTCTCCCTGAGTTTCTTAGTGCCTCGATTTTGCTGAGGCTGGCTTTAAACTCTGGATCCTCCTGTCTCAGCCTCCTGAGCCGCTGGGATTACAGGTGTGCTTGCTAAGTAGTTTAGGGCCTCAATAAATTGCTAAGGCTGGCCTTGAATTTGAGATCCTCCTGCCTCAGCTCCTGAGCCTCTGGAATTATAGGCATGTGCCAACACACCCAGCTCTTTTGTTGTTGTTGTTGAGAGAGACCCATAGAAAAGATTGGCCCTGTGGCCCTCCTCCCCCAGGCCAGAGCCCAGTGCAGCCTTGGGAACATCCACCACTATTTTCAAACCATAGTAGGCAGTACACTTTGATAGTTAATGCCTTTGCTAACCTGAGAGCAGGCAGCACACCATCCCAGAATTTGCCCTCAGAGGGTTTCAGAGATCTCATGTTTTGAAGAGAGTCTTCTTAAATTTTTTCCTCGGAGACTGCAGCTTGTCACCCTTACCTTCTACTAGTTTTATTTAATTTTTAAATATTTATTATTTATATTTTTCTGGATATCTTTAATTTCCATTTATAAATCTCATGTAGTTACCTCCAACTGAACCTAAATCACATCCAGGACTCTGGCTGCAAGGTATGCTAGAAAATGTAGTTTTTAGCCTTCCATACTCTATGGAACAGGAAGAGACACAAGGTTGGTGTAAATATTAAGTTATTTTATATTATCTACTATACAGGGTGGCAGTTTAAAAGCAAGGTTTTCTCATATTAGGAGTAATATCAATAATGTTTATAGGCAAAGAAAGATACAAAGCAGGTGGAGATTTGACATGAGGGAGGGAGGGAGGGAGGGAGAGAGAGAGAGAGAGAGAGAAATAATCAATAGAGCACAGTATAAAAAGGAAGGAAAAGGATTAGGTCAACAGAGAGACTCAGTCTTGTAAATGAGGAGGGGAACCTGTGCCTCCAAAATAACAAATAAGGAGTCACAGAAGTGTTGAAGTAAAACAAAGTGGAGTTCTGCTGGATGACCCCAACATTTTCAGTGAAACAAGAGGCAAAGCCATCTGCTACCAGTGAGCAGGGAGGTTCTAAGGGCTTCAGTGTAGGAAGGATTAGAAAGATGGAAAATGAATTGAGAGTTTGTGACAGATAAGTG